AAATAGCACCACTAAGTTGGTGAAAATAACATTATTAAGTATATACATATAGTGTTGTTGTGGCAATCAAGATATCCAACCAATCCCAAGTTCTTTCTTTTTTCAAACTGAAAATAACATTATTAAGTATATATATATAGTGTTCCTGTGGCAATCAAGATATCGAAACAATCCCAAGTTCTTTCTTTTTTCAAACTGAAAATAACATTATTAAGTATATATATAGTGTTCCTGTGGCAATCAAGATATCCAACCAATCCCAAGTTCTTTCTTTTTACAAACTGAAACCGAGTTGCGAAATAGCACCACTAAGTTGGTGAAAATAACATTATTAAGTATATATATATAGTGTTGTTGTGGCAATCAAGATATCGAAACAATCCCAAGTTCTTTCTTTTTTCAAACTGAAACCGACTTGCGAAATAGCACCACTAAGTTGGTGAAAATAACATTATTAAGTATATATATATAGTGTTGTTGTGGCAATCAAGATATCCAACCAATCCCAAGTTCTTTCTTTTTTCAAACTGAAAATAACATTATTAAGTATATATATATAGTGTTGTTGTGGCAATCAAGATATCCAACCAATCCCAAGTTCTTTCTTTTTTCAAACTGAAACCGAGTTGCGAAATAGCACCACTAAGTTGGTGAAAATAACATTATTAAGTATATATATATAGTGTTGTTGTGGCAATCAAGATATCCAACCAATCCCAAGTTCTTTCTTTTTTCAAACTGAAAATAACATTATTAAGTATATATATATAGTGTTGTTGTGGCAATCAAGATATCCAACCAATCCCAAGTTCTTTCTTTTTTCAAACTGAAACCGACTTGCGAAATAGCACCACTAAGTTGGTGAAAATAACATTATTAAGTATATATATATAGTGTTGTTGTGGCAATCAAGATATCCAACCAATCCCAAGTTCTTTCTTTTTTCAAACTGAAAATAACATTATTAAGTATATATATATAGTGTTGTTGTGGCAATCAAGATATCCAACCAATCCCAAGTTCTTTCTTTTTTCAAACTGAAACCGAGTTGCGAAATAGCACCACTAAGTTGGTGAAAATAACATTATTAAGTATATATATATAGTGTTGTTGTGGCAATCAAGATATCGAAACAATCCCAAGCTATTTCTTTCTTCAAACTAAAACCGACTTACGAAATAGCACCACTAAGTTGGTGAAAATAACATTATTAAGTATATATATATAGTGTTGTTGTGGCAATCAATATATCCAACCAATCCCAAGTTCTTTATTTTTTCAAACTGAAACCGACTTGCGAAATAGCACCACTAAGTTGGTGAAAATAACATTATTAAGTATATACATATAGTGTTGTTGTGGCAATCAAGATATCCAACCAATCCCAAGTTCTTTCTTTTTTCAAACTGAAACCGACATGCGAAAGAGTTGGGGAAAATTTTCGCTGCCGAAAAACATTGCTTTTGTTTGTATGGAAAATGTAGTATCGCAACAAAAATGCCTGTTGTTATCATTTAATTATTTTGTTAAGCTTCATCGTTTCAAACAATGTCACAGCTGATGTTTGTTTGTTTTGTGAGTGGGTGACGGTTTCTACTATGTATTGTTATTCCATCTAAGAGAGCAGACGGATTATAATTCACTTGAAGTATTTCGTATTTGTCAACATACTTATACAAGTATGTTCTTCTTCTTGACTGGTCTTCAAACCCGTTATCGGGCTATGACCTGACGTAACACAGCTCTCCACGCGCCTCTGCTTCGCGCGCGTCGCTTCCAGTTGGTCACTCCGCAGGTAGTAAGTGCGTTCTCTACCTGGTCCTTCCAACGTAGGCAAGGCCTCCCCCGTCGTCGTCTCCCCCCAACATCCGCATCGAGAACTTTTTTCGCTGGAGCGTCTTCTTCCATACGCACGACATGACCTAGCCAGCTTAGCCGCTGGATGTTTATTCGCTTGACTATGTCAATGTCAGCGTAGAGCTCGTACAGTTCGCTGTTCCATCGTATGCGGTAGTCGTCGCCAACGCGAATGGGACCGAAGATCTTCCGAAGCATCTTTCTCTCAAACACTGCAAGAGCTGCTGCATCAGTCTGCGATATCACCCATGCTTCTGCACCATAAAGCAGCACGGGGAGGATGAGCGTCTTGTAGAGCGTTAGCTTGGTTTTTCGGGAAAGGTCTCTGCTACTCAATTGCCTACTGAGGCTGAAGTAGCATCGATTGGCTAGAGTTAATCTCCATTTGATTTCTAGGCTGACATCGTTGGTTGCTGTGACGGTGGTGCCAAGATACATAAAATCTTTCACCATTTCGAAAGTATAGTTTTCCACCGCGATCTGGGAGTCTGGTTGCCGCGTGTCCCTGCTAGAGGAAAACATATACTTAGTTTTGCTCTCATTTATCACCAAACCCACTTTTGCAGCTTCCTTCTCAATAGCCGCAAATGCTCCGGTGACGCCTCTCCTGGTACGGCTGATAATGTCTATATCATCAGCGTACGCAAGAAGCTGAACGCTTTTAAAAAAGATCGTTCCGCCTCGGTGTACACCAGCTTTGCGCACCACACTCTCCAGCAGGAAGTTGAAGAGATAGCACGAGAGGGCATCGCCTTGCCTGAAACCTCGAACGGTATCAAAGGGTTCGGAGAGGTCCTTTCCTACCTTGACGGAGCTACGAGTGTTGCTCAACGTCATTCTGCAAAGTCGCACTAGCTTTGCAGGGATACCGAACTCAGACAGTGCGGCATATACACGTTCCCTCCTCGGGCTATCAAATGCTGCTTTATAATCGACGAAAAGATGGTGGGTATCGATTTGAAACTCATGAGTTTTCTCCAGGATTTGGCGTAGCGTGAATATCTGGTCAGTGGTGGATTTACCAGGCATAAAGCCGCACTGATAAGGCCCAATCAGTGCTATCGCAAATGGCCTTAGCTTATCACACACTACGCTTGATATGACCTTATATGCGACGGAAAGAAGGCTGATTCCACGATAGTTGGTGCAGACCGTGGGATCACCTTTTTTTAAGACGGGACATAGGACACCGAGATTCCAATCATCAGGCATGCTTTCAGTTAGCCATATTTTGCAAATGAGCTGGTGCATGCACCCTACCAACTCATCGCCGCCTGCCTTAAACAGCTCCGCAGGCAGCCCATCTGCTCCCGCAGATTTGTTGTTTTTGAGCCGCTGGATGGCTGTTTCGACTTCGTCATGGCTAGGTGACGGTACTTCAATACCATCGTCGGCGATCGGTTCTGTGGGGTCATCTCCGCTGGCGGAATTGTTAACATCTTCGCCTGATAGAAGATTGGAGAAATGTTCCCTCCACAGTCTCAGTGCCGCTTGCCCGTCCACCACCAGATTTCCTTCCGAGTTCTTACAGGCTGACGCTGCGGGCTTAAAACCTTGTGTTAGACGCTTCACCTTCTGGAAAAATTTCCTAGCGTCGTTCCTGTCTCTACAAAGCTCCATCTCCTCTCGCTCTCGCTTTTCTTGCTCTCTCTTCTTGCGTCTAAAAAGCCGCCTCTCCTCCCTCTTCTTCTCCCGATATACATCATGCACAGCGCGCGTTGTCGCCGTCTGCAGGGTTCTTTTGTACGCGGCATTCTTCGCTGCAGTGGCTTCGCGGCACTCCTCGTCGTACCATTGGTTTCTCGGTAGCGGCTGTTGGAAACCAATGACATCTTCTGCGGCTGTGTGCAGTGAGCGGGAAATATGTGCCCAAAGTCCGCTACCAGTATCGGTTTCCGAGAACGGTTGAGAAAGCAGCTCAGAGAGTTGAGCGGAGTAAGCTTCGGCAGTCTGTTGTATACAAGTATGTGCATGTCGCAATTATTGCAGACGAGATCATAAATCGATTTACAGCGGCATTTTTAAAGAGAGTTTTGATTATACTTATTGGTATAATAAGATTGGGGCAAAATTTAAGAAAGGCTGCTTTATTTTCAAGATATTAAAGAAACCCCTAGTACTTATATATAAACAAATGTTTCACAAAATTGACCGAGATATACAAATTTGCTGTCAGTTTGTTGAGAAAATCTATAAAATCTCTGATTAGCAAAGAGTAATAAAATTGCGACGAGTCCCGGTTGGTTATAACTTATTCTGCTTTTGTTTAACACTGTACTATAGCTATGTGCTCAATAGTATAGTGTACGCGTTATTCTAGTGGCTTCGTGTTCACTCTTGTATCAAAACTAGCACATAAAATAGAAACAGTCAACAGTGGCAACAGAAATAGAAACAGAAACCGAAACAACAACGGCAAATCGATAACATGAATAACAATGATTTCAATTTGTATTCTGTCTATTTAACGAAATTCTAATTAGCATCGCCCAATGCCACATGTTCAATTAGGCTCTGTCAGTCATGTTCCCTTCATATTTTTGTGTGTTTTTTGAACGCCAGCCAACGGCTATCAATGAAATAGTCGTGGTATTCAGACCTTAACTTTGAAAGACTTTAATTATTGTCAATAGCTTCCGTTGTTTCGAAAACGTCCCGCGCCGAACATACATATCTATATGTATATTCCCTAATTTATAATATATATCCGTATGAAAAAGTAAAATTAGCTCTTTGAGCAATGATCATTCACCGGAGACTAATCATCAATTGGCAATAATTAATTGTTAATAGCTAATGGAAACCACCGGGTGAATGCATCATTTGATTTGATAATATTGATTATCTTTATGTTTGAAATCTATTATTGTTCTGTTCTTCATTTACAAACTAACAAACAAATACTTACATTCAATCGCACCCTTCATTTATTTATTAATATCGATGTCGTATTTATAGATGCATTTTCTATGTAATTAAATGTATGTACATATAGTACATTTTGTATGTCTTGTCACTTGACTAACTTTTCGGAATCCTGCTCTATTTCTCTTTTCCCAAACTTCAACTTTAATTGCTTGCCACCATTATGTACCACTATCCATCTGTCTACTGTCCAATGATTGAATGATTGACCGCCAAAGGTCTTACAAAACGGAAATCGCCGAGATGGAGACCGTGCTCTGAAGTGTTTGGAATGCAATTAAATCATACTATTTTTGGCATTGAACGAGGCCAACCAAACTTAACTCTTAACTGCATTCATTCAAGTAAATAGATACACACACACACACACATACATACATGCTACATATACCAAACATAGGACATAGCTAACATAAAACCAACAACCAACCACACACACACACACAAGAACAACTAAAGCAAGTAATAAGCATTTCAATGAACAAGCAAGAAACTTTTTTTTAAGAATTACAACTCGGCGAAAAGGCAAAAACTAAACCAAACTAAACTAAAGTAGCAATAAGGTTAACATAATGGAGAAAAGTTTACACTGCAAAAAATAAAAAGGAAGAGAAACTCAACTATAACTGTCGCTAAAAATAAAACTATTGTATGTATATCTTCTAATCAAAAGTGTTTCCAAACAATCGTAATTGTCTGGTTAAGGATGCTAAAACAAATGGGAAAGAAATTAACCTAAACAAATGATAAAAACAAGTTTCAAATAGTTTGTATTGTACATGTAAACTGAAAGCTTTTAAAAGTTACATTTAAAAAACCGAAAAACTAATATGAGAAGAGCGAGCAAAATGCATTAAAAAAAACCCAAAGCGCCTCACATAAATACACAAAATTAAATATACTTTTTAAAAAAAAAGAGTACACACACGCAAGTAAAAAAGTTTGTAAAAATTTAACAAACCATCAAGTGAAAATGTTTAACAATAAGTTTTTAAATGTTATTTAAAACAAAACAAAAAAAAACCAAAAAAAAACAAGGATGCCAAAGAAAGCAAATAATTTGTTATTTTTCTCCATTGAACTGTGACATGTTAACAACAAAGAAAAACACACAAAAAACAAACAAACAACAAAATGTAATTAATGTTTTTTTTTAATAATAGTATTTACCAAATTATACATTACTATAAAAAGTTATATCTATATACAAGAAAATGGAAACGAAGCAGTTGCATTGGCGGAGAAAAGCTAAAAAAGAAAAGCATAACAATTGATATATATGTACACACATTAAAATATTTATATGTATTTACGCATTATGATTATTATATAAATGTTATTGCATATACATACAAACATACTTATACATTTACATACATGCATACATATATAGTATATACGGTATATATATTTTTTTTATTTTGATAAATTGCTTTTGTGCCGCTAAAATGTTTGAAATTAGAAAAAACAAAAAAACTCAACAAAAAAAATCAAAAATTTATTTTGTAAGAAGAAACACACGCATACAAAAAAAAAGACAAAGTTTGCGAACGCTTCATTTTATTTGCTTGAGAAACACTTCAATAATGGTTCTCCCAACTTTCTTGAATAGGGCTAGGAGGCCATGTTTCAATAACTTATTGATCTCAGAGCAGTAGATATATGTGAGGACTTCTTTTTTTTTGATCGGTACTCATATTTACATTTTACTGCTTATACAAGTTACGTCCCAAAGTAAACAGGACATTAGAAGGACACACAAAAAATTAGTTTATTTTATTCAAAATATTCACCTTCCGATTGAATACAAAGTTTTGCACGATCAGAGCAATTAGCATTTCGAGCGAGCTTTTCTGCTTTTTGAATGACTTCAATGTTAAATGCCATTTTCCAGAAAATATGGAAAACGATTCATGGTTTGAATGCGATTTTTTGTCGACCCAATTTTTGATTGTCGGTCAACTTATGTGGCTCAAAACAAGAATATACATACCTTTCGCAGATCCAATTGTTAAAGTGCGATAAATCGTTGATTTGGAGATACTTGTATTTAATGCCATTTTCATTTATTTCAGCAAAGTTATTGGCAGATTTTTGATAAATGCACAGCATCTTCCGTATTCGTGAATTTTTTGTCGTCATTCAACTCATCACAACCCTTCTTCTATCGTGTAAATGAGTTGTGGACTCTGCCACAATATAAACAATTATCTATTGAAACCTAAGTACAATTTTTACTAAGCTTAAAACAGAACTTACTATTTCGATATTCATTTTTGTTTCGCCACCACAAACACCCTATCTATACATTCAAATGACATGCATTTTTGACGGGATGTCGATAAAACATGTATCTTATTAACGCATCACCCATCAATATCTAATGCCAAGAGTCCTGTTTACTCTGGTATGTACCTTTTAGGAAGGCAATCGGAATGGTGCAATATGGAAAAAGAGAGATATTGTCAAAGTATTGCACAGCTTCATTGTTGAGCAAATCTTGTACTATCGTGCCATTCTTGTCAGCTTTGGAAACTAAAAAAAAAAAACGCTAAGATCAAACCGGCAGCTATGTAATATCTATGTAACTAATTAACTTGAAAATCACATAAGCGGTTAATGGTTTATTGTAGTATAAAGAGCTTAATTGGCCTCGTTTAAAACATAACCACAGTGGCATAAAATCCCCTTTGAGTTTCAAACCAAAGTGTATAAGCCTTTTAAGCCAAGTATGTGTGGGCTGGTGAATTGATAAGTCAGTAAGATTTATAATGAATTTAAAAAGCCAATCTAGAACCATACTAGTATGTATGTATGTTCTTTTCAGCTTTGTTGTTTCAGTTTAAAGCGCCCCAAGACAGGCGCTTCTTTGGCATACACTTTATTGTAAGAGTCTAGCAGTCATAGCCCATCAGAAAGCAAAAACTAATGAATTTATCAGTGTATTTTCCATGAAACTCAGTTAAATTAGCTTTTATTAAGGGTTCAATATAAATTGCAAACAAATACTTTTCGCGTGTGGTGCTACTAATCCTTAGGTATACGCAATAAAAATCAATTTTTGTTTAAAGTCCATTAGTTACTCATTAATACAAATGGCCGCTTAAATTCTTAAAATGTTCTGCCACTAAAAACTCTACTTTCTGGCGTGCAATTATCCGTTTCCTCTTGAAAACTGGATGAGAATAGATTAATTTTCAAGCCATAATTCGGCAAATTTCAAAATTCACAAACATAAGCCCACTAAGAAGAATCCGAATCAAATTTTTGTGTTAAACAGAAAACCGCTGGCAGATTTGTTTTCTTAAAATTTGTGGTTAACATATAGCTAACTGATTAAAAAAATATATTCAGCAAATATTTTACATAATTTAGTAAATTGAGTCTCTTTTGATTGCCCCCAAAGCTAGCATAAGGAACATGATTGTATTTATATATTTACTTCTAAGTACAGTAAACAACAAAAGTGATTGTAAATATTATTATGAAAGCATTTCGACAATTATGGCATGATATACAAGTATCGGTTAAAAGTCAACAATGGATCTCACACATTCCGCATTCAGGAAGTTGCAGATTCCAACAAGTAATTAAATTTAAAAAAAAGCATTATCTATTGCCCCCTTTAAATTGATCGTTAAAGCATTATTAAACACAACAAACAAAAGTGTTATAAAAAAATGTGAAAAAAAACGAACTAAAAAATGATCTTTACGCTGAAGCTATATACCCTTCACTGTATCTTATTCCTTCATGGCCATGGGCCGCAAACTACTCGTATATACTCCACTGTTTCCGTACTATCTGTTCTTTCATTAGAAAAAAATTGGCATTTGGTCATCTATGGCGACACAACAGATGTGCTACATCATAGGCAACTTTTAAATCTTATATGACAGCCATATGTATGATGTAGTTATCTGACATGACAAGTCTCGACATACTATATTAGCTGTGTCTTCTTCCTTCTGGTTGTTAAAAACTGGCAGACCTCACACTTTTCAGTGAAGGGTATAATAACAACAACAGCAAACAAAAACTCATAATTAAATGTGAATGTGTTTCATAAATGGTAAGGATATTCGCAAGCTTGCGGCAAACGGCTAACTAAATAATGATTAAAATGAAGTACGAATACAATTTGTATAACTAAATAATGAAGTGCATAATTAATGAAACACAACCAGTTTAAACAATCCAAATAAATCAATTAACTAAAAGTCGAAGTTAAAACCTAAGAATAATCGTTTGTGTTGGTATATATACAAACATACATATATATACATATATATATATATATATATATTTATGTGTCTTCTAAATGTTTAGCGTCGATCCAAAAACAAAAGAAAAAACATATACAGATCAAAAAAAAGCAAAATTAGCTAAACTCCTAAGTTAGCGTACAAAACAACGTATTCGAAAAGGAAAACAAACAAACAAGAATTAAACCAAATACCACACAATTGCAATTAACAGACGCTTCTTTTCATTTATCCTTTTCATACAACACACATATATTATTTGTGTTCTTATGGACAACATTCAATGATAGTTAACAGCAGGGGGGAGAAGGAAACAGGAGGCGGAAGGCAGCACACAGTTGTTGGTCTTAATTAAAAACAATCAATTTAACTCACATTACAAGTATATTCTTCTTTTTTTTTGCTTATCGAGCATCGCACATTAAGTGAGACATCAAGCCGTCGCAATACTAATATATTGTGTGCTGAGGGCTAAACAAATTTTACACAACAACATAAGACGTTTAGATTTCGCGCTCATTTCTTTAGAGATTTGTTAAAAGTTGAAGGCAAAAACAATGAATGTTAACAGTAAAGGAAAACGTATTGAGTTTTATTTGCAAAGAGTGATTTTTTGTAGTAAAAATATTTTATACACAGACTACAGAAACTTAAATGGGAAAAAACTAATAAAAAATAAAATACTAAAAACAAGAAGGAAACCAAATAATATAACAAAATGTTAATTATTACGTATATATTTTTTAAGACAAATTGTTCACATTTAAAACCGTAAGCAGTACTGGCGAATGAAAAAAATAAAACAGAACTAAAACAAGAACAACAAAAATGTTGCAGAGAAACGAGGGGAAAACCACAATTTAGTATTTAAAGAACTTTACGGACAAATTAAAACAAGTAAAACAAGTTAACATTACATTATATAAGTAGTTAGTAATTTAAAACTATACCCGATGGAAATATAGTAAGCAAAATCATGGCGAGCAAGGAAGGTTTATGTATACAACATGATGATTTTTGTTGTTGTTTACTCTTTTTTTTTGGTAATTCTTAAGTTAGATGGGAATTGTTGCAAACAAATACGGCATACAGACAGACATTTTATTAAATGTGCATATATAAATGAAAGTTGAAAGAAGTTTATGGCTAGGCGACACGAAACAAAATAAAACACTTTACTGTAACAGAAGAATTATTATGTAAAATACAGAAAATACAATACAAAATTGTATGCGACATGCAAATTCACAAACCGAACTGGAACCATTGCACATGAAATCATGAAATCAGTGTATAAATAAACACGAATTGTTGTCCTGCCAGAATCCATGGCATAGACATATTTCAAACAAACGAATTCCCATACAACCATTAAGTAAGTTGGCATAAAACATAAAACTAAACACGAATGAATACTATGAATATACATTGTTGTGGTAGTTACTGAAGGCAGTCAAAATACAAAACAAAACAAAAAAATGAAAATTTAAAAAACAAAAAGTACATTAAAAAGAACTTGCAATAAATGTGTATACAAAAAAAAAACTAGTTTCAATATTTACACTGAATTAATCTCTCCAGCACCCACAGCATCATTCGAAATTTGTTCAAGCGAACACTTTTGCTGCGAAATATTCGTCGTCCCACCATGTTGTTCAGCAGTTTTCTCCATAAACAGGAAACATAATCGCTTATTGGTCTCTCTCCGCATTCCATCTGGTGTTTTCCACACATTGTAAGAGCAAGATTTTTACTAAAGGACAGCGCATTTGGTATAAAACCAATGATACTGGATACATGTGGAATTTACATTTGAGAACTACGAATAATGAGAAAGTTCAAATTATCAACAAAAAATAAAAAAAGAAAAGAACCAAAAATGTATTTAAAAAATGAAATTAACGAAAATAATACAAAATTCGGTGCGACAGCAAGCGAACAACTGCGAATCTTGAAGGTGTTTCCAAGCCCTTGTGTCTTTATTTCATCGTTTATTGCAATGCCTACTATAATTCAAATGTTGTCACAAAACAATTATCGAGTTTCATTTTATCAAAAAATTGATCCTTATTTCCTTATAACCGAACTAAATACAAGATAAATCAAAAGTTCAGACGAATTAATGGAGTAATATAGTATAAACAGCTTCAAGAAAATAATATAAAGCCACATAACATTTAAATACCAGTCCCGTTCATTTTACAAGTATGTCATACGTTGCATAGCCTTCAGCTACTGTCAGCAATCGTATGAAACATGGCGTAGCTTCTGGAACTACCATACTTCCGATTTTGTATTTCAATATATCGATAAGCATACGTGCATCTCTCGGCAGCAACCACATGCGACGTCAAAAAATGGCACTCGTCCATTTTGTCAACGCTCCCAGCGGCATCCAGAACGTGAGTTTCTTCAAATTTTATTTTTAAGATTATATTTACCGATTAAAACATTATAATTAACTTAAAAGTATTGTGAAAACTGCTAACAACATTTCTAATGTCGAGGCATGCAAATGCAATTGAATATTTTACTGCTTTTGTTGTGGAATAAGTCAGCACTTGTGGCGCTCACATGTGCCACTTGCGTTTCCCAATGAGGCTTTTAGGTTAGGTGTATATGTGCGTATAAGGGAAAATTAAATATACAAATTTCCATTTGCTTGCTGGTGTTAACTCATTACAGGTTTCGTAACTCTTTCACGTTAAAATGTCGGGAGGCTTAGATATTCTGTCCCTCAAAGAGGATGACATTACCAAAATGTTGGTCGCCACCACCCATTTGGGCTCGGAGAACGTCAACTTCCAGATGGAGCAATACGTCTTCAAACGCCGTGCTGATGGTGTAAATATCATCAATTTGGGCAAGACCTGGGAGAAACTGGTGCTGGCTGCACGCGCCATTGTGGCCATTGAGAATGCATCTGATGTGAGTTTAATTTTTCTCTCTTTCTGCGCCACTCTATGGTCTGACTTTTGGTGTGTAAGCGCGTGCTGCGTACATGATGATTTTATTACTAATCTTTCGGGTATGAAATGCAGTGATTTCAACTTAAATACTGACATGCCACGCCTTACACCCAAAACAAAAAGAACACCATGTGCTGCTTAAGAATTATTTATGCTTTATTTACCGGATCCTTTTACACCAATAGGTTTTCGTCATCTCATCGCGTCCCATCGGTCAGCGCGCTGTGCTGAAGTTTGCCAAGTATACGGACACCACTCCTATTGCTGGCCGCTTTACGCCCGGTGCTTTCACCAATCAGATCCAGCCCGCTTTCCGCGAGCCACGTCTGTTGGTTGTGACCGACCCTAACACCGATCACCAGCCCATCATGGAGGCTTCGTACGTGAACATTCCCGTCATCGCCTTCACCAACACGGACTCGCCATTGCGTTACATTGATATTGCTATTCCATGTAACAACAAGTCTCCCCATTCTATTGGTTTGATGTGGTGGTTGTTGGCCCGTGAGGTGCTTCGTCTGCGCGGCACCATCTCTCGCACCAGCGAGTGGCCTGTGGTGGTGGATCTCTTCTTCTACCGCGATCCCGAGGAGGCTGAGAAGGAGGAGGCCGCCGCCAAGGAGCTGCTGCCACCACCAAAGATCGAGGAGGCTGTCGACCACCCAGTGGAGGAGACCACAAACTGGGCCGATGAAGTGGCTGCCGAGACTGTTGGTGGTGTTGAGGACTGGAACGAAGATACCGTCAAGACCTCATGGGGCAGTGATGGCCAGTTCTAAAACGCGTAGCGACGACTCTGACGCTGGTAAAGTGGTTGTTGTTCGATTTTGGCAAGAATAAAACCAAATTATCTAAAAATACCACGCGCCTTTTTCATTCTGTTTGTAACAATCTACACCTAATTCTGTTTTTACACGGTATCTTATCTCTAAAAAGATATACATATGCGAATTTTTAATCTTCAAACCGTGTCATCAAAATCGTGTAAAAAAAGAATTAGGTGTATATGTATGTAACCCACACGTTGACGTGCGAATGGGATAGCTAGATGGCGCACGTATATGAGTAGCAAGGCAATACTACGTGAACATGGGAACTGTCATGATGCGTAGGTCAAGCCACACATGAATCTGTACATAAATTAATAGATTCAAAAAAACAGGACAAAAGTTTCACCACTTGGGGCTATAAATGTTGGAGGTATTTTGGGAATTATGGGAATGTACTGTAGCATGAGTAACGATGTAGCGTTTTCATAAAAAATGTTGCTGAATAAAAACTCAAAATCCGTGGGTCGCGAAAGTTAATATCTATGTACTAAGAACACAGTATGATTTATAAATATAGTACATGTAATCCAAGGCCCATGGCCATAGAGAATTAACGACAATGAATTACAATAGTAGGACAAGAAGCTTCCAACTAAATTGCTTACATTTTAGCACATTTCATTTCGTTTATAATAATAATAATATAGTATTCTCTATATATGATATATGAATAATTTATTATCTCTTGCACTACTGCTTGTGTGTCAACTAACAAAATTCCTCCCACGTACAAGGGATACAACTGCTTAGTGTTCTTTTTCATTCAGTTTTATATTGAAGTATAATTATAAAGTGAACATCAACAAATAATTAAAAAAGTATGGATTGTGTTTGTCGCAATCTCCAACCGCATATGAAGTGAATTCTAAACTGATCCGTCCCGTTTTTATATTTGAATAAAAAGTTTGGCTTATCACGCAGCTTGTAGCATTTCTGTATTTTTCGTAGAAGTGATGGATTACTGAAAGGATTTCGTTCGAAAAAGATTTTAAATCACAACTATGTACCTCCACAACACCCCATTAAAAAGTATGTATAAATGTGTAATTTGTAAAGAAACATTTCCATTGCGTTTAAAATTTATGGTAAACAAGTTTTTAATAAACAGAAAAGAAAAAAAAAAACAAACACACACACCACAAAACAAGGGTGAACATGCACTGTACAATATTAATTTATATTTGATTTACTTTATACAAATAGAAAACAGTTAATATAATGTTAAATAATTAATAGATTCTTACATGTATATATCTTTATGCCTTCCGAACGATTGATTTTACTTTAATATAAAAAGATTTTATTTTGTGTGTACATTTAACAATTTACCTCATACCGGTACCTTGACTGCCCGGGTATGCATCAAAAATCTTTCTGATTCTTATAAATGTAGCATTTGCTCAAGATTAATATGTAGTACAAAAATAAATGAACAAAAAATATTTTATATCTTTGTTTTCATATCTTTTCTTAATTATAAAATTTAAATATTTTTACTATTATTATTATAATTGTATGCATGTTATTTAAAAGGATTTGGACGAGCTTTGAATTCCGTCATTTTTCGTATTTTCTGGATCTCCTCCGCTTCGAGTTTTAAGCGTTTCTCTTCTTCCTGCAATGGAACCAAATACAAAACAAATTATTAGTGGTTTCAAGACGTTTATTGTCATCATAATGAGAACTTTATGTGTGGTCCATATGTCTACAAGATGTATGTATGTATGTATATACAGAATAATTGATGTTTATTATGGTAGATTTTATATTGTGTTACAATAACTTCAAGGCTTAGCCAGCACTCAAGTTAACCCTCAGTTCTTTATATAGAAAGTCAAACAGCTAGCTAATATAATCGAATTGGTTGCTTTCTATACAATTGGTCTGTCAATCTCTAGTTTTTATTTAAGCCCGTAATCTTTATATGCATATAGACCTTATTGTCTTTTATCGCTTATTTTCCTTGTTTTTCATTCATCATCTCTGTAATGCCAACACTTTGATTTTTAATAACGAACAGAACAGCATTCCCCATAGCCTTCTTCGCACCTCAAAATGAATATATCCGATAAATTATCACTGAATTTTTATTATTTCCAAGATTGTTTAGTATGCATTTACTCATAAAGTGTGTTTTAATGATATCCGAGAAAACAAATGCACTCGTATATGCATTAAAATTTCATTTGCAAATAGGTTTTTGTCAGCCCAGCGGGGCTAAATAATCTACAAATATACGATTGTCTTTATTTATCTGCGTGTGCAAATTATTTTGTTAGCATGCCCATAATTGTAATCTATCAATAGATAACACCAATATAATGTACCATGATTCAGTAGGCAATTAACTTAATCTGGATCACGTCATGTCATTTTAGTGACTGCCGACTACTGTCTGCCTTTGATTATGCCCGGCACTTTTCCAAAGCTCCGTTATCTCACCTTCTGAAAACGTATATAGTATGTGTGGTCTCTATTCTCACTACATACTATACTACATTCACAGGTTGTCCGTAAACCAAATGTGCATAGCTAACTGGATACGACAGCAACAGCTGGCAGTATTAATTAACTGAGTTAATGCCACTTTGCCGGAACAATTAGAGGGAATCATAAATACGGGTTAAGTCATCTGCAATACTAAACTAAGCTAGCTGTTAAAGTGATTGCCTCCCTATATTTAAATAAGTATAGCATAAACTTTATACTATAAAGCGATATTTAAAGAAAAGAATTCATGTATGAGGGAAGTTCAATATGTCATTATAAAGCCTAAGAAATACTCGTATATACATATTTAAATTTTGACTGTTTTCAATCGGTTTGTGATCAAACAATCGAAAGTGGTGTCTGGGGCTCAAAAGCTTGCATATGAATGGTAAAACGCCGAATAAAATGACTACCGAAAACCAATTATTTTCAAAAACGTATTCGAGCACCCCTAAATGTGCTTATAATAGAGAATATGTCAAGTTTCATTTTATGGCAGGCACTAGCACTAGTTCATAAGGCTATATAAAAATCGCAGCTATTCGGATAATTAAACATGAAAATTCCAAATGCTATTTTTGTCAAAAATTACAATTTGTAATACGCAAGTACAGAGGCTGATTGCCCAATAACATGATCAGAGACGTAGCCATCAACATCTAGGAAACTCTGAAATGCTGTGTTTCGGTGATTCATGTTGTGTAAATAAAGTAAGCAAGCTGCAATAGCGGCAATTAAAAGGCTATTATTGAAAACATTTGTTCATATACATTATTGTAGCTATGCAAATGCAAAAACACGCAGTGGATCGTGACTCAGACGCTCCGAGCTCGTGTTTCAGTATGCAAGAAAGCAATATTGTGCCGATCCCAAGCGGTACGGTTGCCAGCTGACACAGATTATCTTGAATGGCTAAGCAAGTAGAGATGCTATTCCGAGGTCCGAGTTCTCTGGATAAGCGTTATCACAAAAAAAACTTACATATACGAGTATATAGTACAGTTTTAAATGAAGAATGCGAATCGGACGAATTGCGGGCGGGAAGCGGGATGGAAACGGGATTTTACTTTGTTTGTTTACTTTAAAAGACGCTCGCAAGGCCGCTGACAGTGCTGAGCTGGCGTTTGGCGTTAAAGCCACGCCCACTTGCGCTGAATGCGTCATCATCGCCATGCATGGAAATAAAAGATTTAATTCAAGCCGTTCCACAGAAATCACAACAAGGAACAATCTCAAGAGCGACAATGCGATAAGCGGGTCACAGGCAGGGGCTGATAGTAAAATTAACTTAATATCCATAATTTAACATGCGAGAAGGCAAAAAGAAGCGTGAAGCAATGCCGCAAAACGAATGAGCCAGCGCCATATGTTGTTTGCCATGAACCAAACGCTAATAATAATACATAATAGCAATAGCAAGCGACAGGAACAAGCTGATAAGATTAGCATAAAAATAAAAATGGAATTCGTGTGGAATTCAGTTGAATGAAAATGGAAAACATTATGCAGCTATGGTCAGAAAGTTTCCGCACAAACCTAATTAAATGTGTAATAGGGTTTCCCATAAAAATTCGATCTCAACCTTGTTGGTATCAACAATTGGGAGTGCAGAATTCATTTTATGATTATGGTGGTTATGGTTGAATATAGAAAATTCGTGTTGTATGCATGGAATGACGTATTTAGCATAAGGATTTAGGTTTATGGGGGGATTTGAATACGGTCGTACCAGTGATCCAGTTTTCTGCCCAGCGACATCAACATAAACTTGTCGTCGTCACCAGCGTCGCCACCACCACCCACTCGCATCAACTCCATTATCATCGTCATCATCATCCTTATGGTCGTCATCGTCGTCTTTATCGTCAGCATCACTGCATTGGGCAGGCGGAGCAGTTGCTCAGCAACTATTTGTCGCCGTCGCGACCGTTGTAGGTGTTGTGGCTGTTATTGTTGTTGGTATTGCCGATGATGCTGCCGTCAGAGTAGTCGTTGATGATGCCGCCGTCTCATCGGATGAGAGAGCACTTGTGTCACCGTAGAAGCGTGGCTCATCGTGCGCCTCACCAGCCGATTGGGCTATATCCTCGTCCGTATCGTCATCATTCGAGCTGTCAGCCGACACCGCATTGCTGGCATTTAATTTGCCGGCATTGCGATCGGCCGCATCATCGTCGGCGTTATGGGTGTTCGGCGCATGCTTGAGCCGCTCATAGCAGCCATTGCAGACACGCAATGGCTTTACACTTTGCTGCGGCAGCAGGAATTTCTTCGACGAGCATGCGGCACAGACAACAGCGCCGCAATTGCGACAATGATGACGGCGCTGCACGAACGTGAACTGCGTCTTCTTGCAATGCATACAAATGCTGGCCTCGGCATCGGGCACCCAGACAGCGGCATGATTCTCGACGGGCTTTTTGCCGCTTTTCCGCAACAGATCCTCCACACACTTGTTGATATGCGCCATCCATTCCTGCTTTTCGGTGCTGGTGGCCGCGTAGACCACAAACGATTTGGTAGTGGTGCGTATGTACCAACCGTTGCGGTACTGCTGATTGTCTGGTATCGATTCCAAGGATACCTCCTCGAGCGGCATTATATGCTGCTTGTTGTACTTTTTCTTGCCAATGACAATGTTGCCATAAACCAATATATCGTTGAATAGGAAAAATTGTCGCGACTTTGGACGTTTGCGACACTTTTTTGTAAGCACACCCTCGCCGACAAGGACACGGCCGGGAACGGCTAATGGCACGCCGGAGCTGCCAAAGCAGCTCTCCACGGAGGCAATGCGGCGTGTGTTGGCCTCCGAGTTGACGAGACGATCGACCATTGCAGTTGTGGTTGTTACTACAGATGCAGCTTTTGTTTTTTTTTCTTTTTTAGGGGGCTCTGGTGCAGGCGAAAGTTGTGGTGCTCGATGTTTGTTGTTGTTGGTGCGGCTGATGTTGTTGTCGTTGTTTTTGTTGCGAGTGTTGTTTACAGCGCTTTACACTTTTCACTGCGTTGACTACGACTATGAATTGTTGGTTTACGGTCGCTGCTGAACATTAAACCGAAAAGTACCTCAAGTGTGACGACTGCTTTATTGTTGTTGTTGTCGTTTCTGCTGCTCCCACTACCTTTTGTCGTCCGTAGCGGATCAGTGTGCGTTTACCCGTATGTGTTTGTGCGCGTGTGTGTGTGGTAGTTTATTTTAGAAATGTGGGTGCAGCTGCAGAGAATCCTTGAAGAACCACAAACTAAATAGAATTTGGACTCCTTAAATATGCGACACGCCTTCTGTATTTAGCACTGAGACGATGCAATCTTTATGCAACGCACAATATGAATATTTTCTGCGCCGTGCGTTAGGCAAAACGTCATGACTCACACCACTAACAACAATTCACGTACACGTTGTATGCATACACACATACATATACATACATGTATGTACATAAATGCATGCAAATACAATCGGCTTTAAAAATTTGTTTAGTGATAATGTTGAGCCAAAACTATCCTCTTAATTGGGCGGCGTAATATTCAACTGAAAATTTTCCAATTTATCGAAAAAAAAAACTGTATGCTCAGTCGAATATACACGACAAAATAAAATATTAATTTATTGTGCACACCACACACACACAACATAAAAACGGCGCAACAGAGCGAAAAATAAAACGAAAGCGCACAGTGCGATTGACTAAAAATATGGCCAGATCAAACAATCATATGATAAAGTTGACAAGATGGTAGCGCCAAGTAGACACACATGCAACCTTGTGTTTAGTGATGCCACATGAAGTCCACTTTGGTTTGATCGAGAGAACGATTTATTTATGTTAATAAAATATTACCTTTTTTTGTTTTTCCTCCATGCTACTAAACACTGCTGCATTAAACTCGCGGCGCTCGCGCACGCGTTGATCGCTCATTAAACGAAAAGGTTTAACTTCAGACGATTTCTTCCTAGGTTGCTCCAGGCTCAGTGGATCTTCACTTTCTTTTTCACGCCGACGCTGCTCAGCAGTCCCGCGCCAACGCTTAAGTACGTCAGGCGTTCGCGGTATTGTCACCCTATGTACGAGATGAGCCTCGTCCAGTCGCTTATGGTGTGCCTTGAAGTTTGGCACCGGTCTACTGTGGAACTCGCGCGCTTTGCGCTCCTCCTCAGCTCGTTTCCGCAGCGCTTCCTGGTGTTTGCCTTTGTAAACATCCTTGAAAGTATATGCTTTTGGGATAGCTACTGAACTCTGCACTTGGGCATTCGTTTCACCCATGGGTAGCGGTGACCATGGGGCCACTCTTAAATTGGCCGGTCGATATTGTCCATTTATTTCTTCTGCTTCAGTATTTTGTGCAGCATCAGCAGCTTCGTCGCTTTGGTTTTCCTTTTGTGCAGCAGCTAAAAATTCAAATTGTTTATTTTTGGCAACAACTAAATTTTCATTCCGTCGCAACAGTGCAAATGTTTAGTAAGAATATTACATACAGAAAAAGTTCTCCGAATGATTCAAATTAAAATCACCAACATTGATATTATCCCAATCAAATGTAGACGCAGGTTTTTGCTCCATCGGTGTACCACTCATTATTAAACTTGCTGTTTTTAACTCACGATTAAACTGCAAACGATACTGAACCTTGTTGGTAATGCGCGCAAATTCAAGTGCGTCGATAAAATTATCGATTACACCGAAAAAACAAAGTCTGGCAAATGTCGATATTTTGGTAACATCGACAGTGTTTTAAACAAAATGCAGTTTTAAATTTTATTATTAAAAGAATACGAATTAATTTTAATTAATTAATTTATTTATTATCATTTAATTCTTTAAATTAATAAAACGCGTTGTTTGTGATTAAATGCATATATTCAAAAGCTTGCGCATTGTGGACTCACCGTTAATATGCTTTCAGAAGCTTTGGGCTTTTTGGTCGGTGAAAAGTCCTGGCATGTTTTTTTGGATAGACGGTTGTATACACATGTGTGTGTGCGCGCGCGTCTGTGATTTATTGCGCGCGCTTGACATTGGCATTCATTCATATAATCTGTAACAAAACAGTTTGTGGCAAGCTACGCATCGCAACAGGTCGCATCCCTAGTTGGGTCGGAACAACACCTACCGCTTATTTTTTTATATTGAGCTCGAACTGGATTTTTTAAATACCGTTCGAATGTAAACAAATAGCACATTCTATAAATAACCGTTACTATAGGTATTCGGCTTAAAGGTGCAAAACTCGTTGACAGCACCTGTAGTTGCGCGTGTGGGTGTTTGTGTGCTAGATTCGATGAAATTAGAGGTGTAGGAATTGATCATCGCGGTGCCAAAGCGTGAGTTAAATATACTCGTACAACAGGAGCAGCCCTTGGACTTCTATAGCATACATTTGCGCGCCAATTTCACATTGCCTATGTGATGAAAGTGTGCTTGTCTGTGCGTGTCAAAGCGGAAATGCGTTTCAGGCGCACTTCGTACACTGCTAATTAAATTGTCTACCACATTGTGTGCAAGGGCAGGTGAGTAGAGCTGGTCATGGTCCCCAAGCTCTGGTTGATTTAAGTTTTGTTCTTAAATATACACGGGCGCTCTTTTGCAGCAACACCTGCAATCATACACACACACACACACACACACACAGTAACACAGAAATACACATGCACATTTTGTCAGGTAACTCGAGTAGTTCATTGCGCGCAAATGCAAATTATTCTTTGAAGCTCGAGAGCATCCAACACATGCATACAGTCCCCGAAATTTAGTTGCCACGACAACCGCAACCGCTACAGTAACAACAACAACAATAACAAAGGCAATCACAGCTACACGCACTATGATGAAAGAATGCACATCCACATACACACACCCAGCACACACACTCGTATCCGTCAGGGCCATTTCCAGAGAACTCTCAACCACACTAAGAGCATTGTGGCACGTAAGTTTGTTTTAATTATGTAGTTGTTTCAATGCATGTAAGTATGTATGTGTGTGTGTGCGTACACATGTCCATGCTGATAGGAATGTTGTGTGTGCAAGGCTAATTTGCAGCTGCAGACTTGAATTCCTAGTATTGGCAACTATCGGAAACAATGTTTCAGAAATCCGTTTTCCACGAATGCTCTTCCACAGCAGTAGCTGCTGGAACAAATAACAATTACTAAATAAGAGCAATTTTCGAGCATAATTATACTTAATTGAAGGAATAAATTTAGTTATTTGATGACATATAGTACAACATACATACATATGTATATATATTTGTATGTACATCTAGATTGAATTAGGTTTAAAGCCGAAATGAATTTGATTTTAACAGAATAGCATGGCATAACATTTTATTATTATTCAAAAAAATTCAGTGAGTTTAGTTTGTAAGTTCATATTTAGGCTATAGTTTGCACAGAAATTTGTTGAATTTGTCAATTATTCATGAATATATTATATAAAAAATTTTATTAAAAAAACGAACTTCTTTTCTTTTTTAAAATACCTTAAGTCCTCAGGCGGATGTGCTCGAGTTTGGGTTACTTTCTGAGCCTGAATGTATGGAATCAATGCTTATGTTTAAAATAAATGGAAATACCGTTTTCTGCATCAGCAAAATACTTATTAATTTACTTTTTAAAGCCGTCTTCTAAATAACATAATATAACATAAGATAATTTACACTGCAGAATTATTTGCATGTCTAAGCGCAAATTAAATAAAGTTATGTGGAAACAAAATAAGAATATCTAGAAGTCTACAAAATAGGTAATAATTTGAGGGCACTCTTCATAGTACATATACATTTATTCTTAGTTCAACAGGAGTGCTGCCATTGGCTACATTTATAACAAGTTAATATTCTGATTGAATAAAAAAAAATGTAAAAGCAAATAACAGTGAATAGCTGAGGCGAAGCAAAAGCTGTATAGGAAGAACATAAAATTCGCCAACTTCAGTGAATTGCCTTACATTTATCATCAGTGAGAAAATTCCAAGGTGGTGCTTTCAGCTGAAAATATTTAAATTTTAGTGAATATGTATCGAAATTTAATGCAGAACTTGCCTGCCAATTTAATTAAATTTATTTATAAACAAGAGCAAAGGCCGATGAATTCAGTGACAAAGCCATGACATTTTAATGGAGGAAGCGCTTCAAATTCAATTTTGCCGCAACGAATGGCGAATTGTGTTTGCTATTTTTACCAATGTCCTTTGTTGTGACCTTATCCTGCAGGAAACATTAACTGATAAATTTAATGCATTGATATCAATAGAAATTTTAAAGCCTTTTTCATACGTAACACCATGCAGGGTAACTAAAAAAGCCAGTTCCTAAGCTACATCGGCCCTTTGAATGCTAAAGAATACCCGACTACCTGTACTAACAAACCAGCACCCGAAGTGAGAAAGGATATACTAATTCCCTTTTCAAGGTACATGCACGTAGATCAGCATGACCAGACGAATCGCTATTAGGGCTTAAAAATAATCGCGGTTCATACAGACATACGATATCGTAATTTAATTTCGTATTTGTAAGTATCTTGTATTACTTCACCTATTTCGAATTTGATTAATCAGATCGTATGTCAACATATGTATATGATTTCCAATGAAGAGAGTGGTTGCATGTGTTTGCTAGTAAATTAGCTGACTTGCTGAATAATCTTAAGGGTGCTCTCACCCAGCATCGAGAAGAGCATTTTTCAATGAATAAGAACATTCCTTTAGTTGAATTTGTTTGTACATTAAATAGTTATGTAGGTGGACACGACCGTTTAGTGTTTAATTAATGAGTATAAGTATAGAATGATGGATAGATATTGCAATTAGATATTTCTTTAAGCTTTAATTTAGCGCATCTCAACAACTGCAGCAGACCTGAGCAGAGCACCTGAGCAAGTGCACGGCCTTACACAACTGCATCGACTTTCAAGAAATTCTAATTTGATTTTACATTATACTTTGTTCATCCTGGCAGTCAACAGCAGACTTATACACCTACTTAGATACATACATACACACATATCTATGGAAACGACGCATCATGGACTGCGGCTCAGTTTCTTGGTGGAAAAAAGGAAATTGTGTTACAACAGCACGGCAGGAATATAAAAGAAATTATGCGTGCGTATGTACACTTGGCGAAAGACAACCAACAATTTAGCAGTGCTCTAAACATTTTGCCTTTATAATTCTCCTAATTGGTTTTTAGCGTTTTTGTAAGAGGATTATAGAGCTGCTATTTATAAATACACTATTCAACGAAGGCTCAGTTCAGCCAGAGCTTCAATATTTTATTTGATTGGATTTAATTTGTATTCCTTATTTTGTTCTCCTGTTGGTACATCTGAAATGCAGGATGCCTGTGAAGAAGAAGGCTAAGCATTTATCTGTCGACTTTACAGTCCAAATGAATACCCCAAGTGTCTGTAGAAGTTGAACTATTTTTTTCTTTTCTAATGCGAGTAAAATACTAGATCAACTCGACGGTATTCAAGTGTATATTTACAAGTATTTATATATTGATCAGCTTTTAGGAATATGCACGCAGTGTTATAGGAACTGTTTTGTCATTGTCATGCTATTTATTTATTCTTCAATTTGTGTCGCTTTCACATTATACATACATATGTGCTAGGCAGTGAGACAACATGGCCAATGTAGAGTGTTGTTGGATTAGTGTCGTTTTTGGGGGCGCTTTTAAAAGGTGTGAAATTGTCAATTCGGCAATCGCTGCAATACACATTCGTTAAAATTAAACTGATGAGGTACTTTGTGTTTTTTATTTCGTCGAGTGTATGAAAGCGGGACATTAGAGTCGGCGCGCAAAAGTATGCTATGAAAAATAAGCCAAGCGCATCGAGGCAGCACCTTGGCAGGACATTGCAATAGGACAGAAACAACAACGACGACGGTAATAATAATAATGTCAGCAATGTCACTTGGCTTTGTTGCTGCTGCAGGCTGGCTGCTGGCATTGCTTATTAGCTTGTTTGTGCGCGCATAATCATTGTTGCTGTTGCTGCTCCTTGGTGTTGGTGTTGTTGGTGTTGCCCTTGTTGGTGTTGCTGTTGTTGCTCCTGCTTATTACATGTTGCCATTTTATACATTTATTTGAGATATCATTGTGCGAAAACAATCACACATACCACATGCATGTCTGCCAGCCTGCAACACACACACACTCACACACACGTACTATGTACATGTATCTCTGTATGTCTGTATGGTTGTGGGAGCAGCATGCAATGCCCATTGTATTTGTGTAATTGAATTTTCCTTTTGATTTGCCTCATGTGCTGTTACTGTTTCGCGTCGCCAACATTTGGGCAGCATCATAAAAATGTTCACAGTAGGCAAGCTGTCAAGCAGCGACACAACAACAACAACAACAATAACAACAAGAGCAACCACAAAAGCAGCAACATAAAAAGGAAAAGCCGTGACAACAAGCCACACCCATACCAAATCCTGTCCCCATTCCCGATACAGCTACTGGTGGTCGTCTCAACCAAGCATTCTCACATAGTTACACTTTAAGGGAAAGGTTCAATATGTCGCTACAATACGTAATACGTTATAAGTATATGAGATGATGCTGATGTGTGTGATTGATTGTGATTGTTGTTGGAAAAAAAAACTGTAAATACTTTAAGCCCTTAAGTAAAAATGTATTTATTATAACAAATAATTCGATATATCCTCGATTTTACAAAACCTAATTGTATGAGCTGATTTTCAAATGATTGATCGGAAATGCAATCCGGAATTAATTAATTTAAAAAACATGTTACTTTCGTACACAACCGTCTAATTATTCGTTTCAATAAAAAGAAAGAAAGAATAAGCTCCAGGCAGGCAGATGATTGGAATCCAAGTTTGTACAACTTTTCCAGTGATCCATGAAAAGTATGCTTAAAAAAATACTTATGTGCTTGAAAGCATATTTTTAGTACTTGAAAAACGATATAAGCCATACTTATATCTACATATAATAGCATACAAAATTAATTTTAAGTACATACGAAAATCGTAAATGGATCTACTCTATTTCTTGATGAATAGGAAATATTTATTTCCTCCTTTTATGTCCTATAAAATGTTCTTAAAAACAAGTGTTGTATACAATTTTTTTAACATTTTTAAATATAATTGAATATTTTGTTTCATCAATTAATTGTGTTTGAAGGATCGTGGAGCCTATAAAAACGGTCCAAGCTACAAGTAATTAATAAAAAATGTCACAAGCGCGTTAAAAAATGGCTATGAATAGGCAATTTATGAAATGCAAAATGAAACATGAAGGCAATCAATAATGGGTTAATTAAGACACAAGTTTTAACTGTTAAATGAATTTGTGTTGCCGAATTTTTCTTTGAGTGTAGTGTAGGCCCCCCAGACACGCCTTTTACCAAGGCAGGAGCGTGTACACGTAAGCGCATAATCCGCTTTACTTTTTACTTTGGCAACCAAAATTCTTGCTCTCCAATGCCTGGAGGGATGCTTCCATGCCTCTAAACGTAGCGCATTTGTTTAATTATTGCAATAGAGGAAGCCACAAGAGGCTTCCGTTTTTAAGGCACTTTTCAACTTCAACGCAACTCGACGACTTTAAATGTTTTTAATTTGTTGTTGTTTTTTATTTTGTTCTTGTTTGTTTTTTGTTTTATTTTTTTGTTTTTGGTTGTGTTCTATTTTTTGCCTGCTTGCCACGCCCGTTTCCACAAAACAACAGTAATAATAATAGCAACAACAACAATAACAACAACAACAAAGAGGGCACGACAACAAAAAGCTGCAAGCAGCACATTTGATAGACCGGGGCCACAAAATGTTGGCACAAAGAATGAGACAGAAAATCAATAAATCGAGATTTAATGAGTTTCAAATATTTGTTGGATACGAAACTGAAATTGGGAGTCGAAGTGGATGTGGATGGGGATGGGGAAGTGGAGTTGGGCTTGGGCTTGGCTTGGCTTTTGCCGCCATCATTTCACCATCATCATCATCATCTAGCTATTGCTATTTTTGTTGTTGTTGGCCCCTATTTCTGTAAATGCTGAATGATTTCAAAATGTTTTGGTGCTTCATCTATCCATCAAATTTATGAGTACGTGTGTATAGTATGTACGTGTGTATGTTTCATTATTTTTATTATTATTTTTTTCTCGTTTTTATGTGATTCGAGTGCCAAACACGCGCGTGCCTCCTCATCTGGCTAAGCCCATATGGATTACAAAGAAACTTTACTGAGCTAACGTGAAGGGATTTAGGGACACGAGTTACTTTAGATTTCAAGAGTGAATTGTAGAACGAATATATTTTTTGTGATTTAGTCTCGTTTCTTTTACAGCCACTAATCCACTAAGTCAGCTAAATTGGTTTTGAGATCCCTTCTTTTTGGCAAGCTCCTGCTTAACATAATTCTTTGCAAAAAGATAATTCAGTTTCCTACCATCTGTGCCCAAAATCCTAGGTAGAATCCACAACTTCTTCTTCTCATTTTAAGCCCTGCCTTTCACTCTTAACAAGAAGGTATTTCAATTAGATGCAACCATTTAAGATAAATTTAATAATATTGAGAAGGGGGTCAACAACTTACCTGTCAACGCCTTATGTTTTAATTAAATAAACTCTTCATAAAACGTCTCGTCCTTTGGTTGTTTAGGGCTATGCAGCTATTTAATTGTTTAAATATCTAAGTAGAGAACTTTAAAGATTTTTAAAAGTTTGCAGCTTTGTTTTTTATGTTTCCATATCGCACAAAGATCAAAGTCCATTTGCGTACTTCACTTTGTACATACATAAGTACAATCTCCATCAATTGATTTTTATTTTTTGTCATACTACTTGTATGGAAGAGATTGATGAAAAAGATGAAAAGCAATCTCTACTAAAAGGCATTATTGCTTCACATTCGACACTTGTTTGTTTGATTTGGGGCACTCAACTAATGGTCGAGTCGGCAGAAAGGTGCACACTTCTTCTTACTCTGAACTAAATGTTATAGCTTTAAGGTTTTTCAGCCACCTTTGATTTGTTGACGACGTTCTCTTAGTTTTTTTGTAACTTAGCCTCTGCTAGCCAAATGTAAGTTCAAAGAAATTCTCTTTTTTAGTTGGAAGCTTTACTTAAATGTGGATATTTTTAATTCGAATTTAAAGATATTGAATTTTTTGATATTTAATTCAAATTGGCTGGCATCTATAGAAAGGATAATATGAAGTTTGCGGAGAAAGATCGATAGATTTTTGGAAACTCGAACTGTTAAGAACTTGCAGGCTATTCTTTTATAAAATAAAACGGTTGCATTTGTTTTTAGAGAAACCTCTTGGGAAAACTAAAGTTAGTCTTAGATTGAATTAAGTACCATTATTTTAGGGAAAGAAGACTGCCTTTGTAGGAGACCCCCCATAACCACCTAAAACCTCAGGGGAACAAGGGCTTACAAATATACTTTTAGGAAGTTGTTGAAGACTTTCTTTGACGACGTCTAATTTTTTAAATAATGAGTACATTTGAAATCCCAGAATCACGAATCTGATTGCAAATACTGGGCATGTGCAGAAATGGAGTTCCTTTGATCCTTGCTCGTGAGCGCTTGGGTGAAGCAGGATTGTCTGGCATTCCAAGAATGTCAAATGAACTTAAGAAGTTGTCCTGACAGTTCCGCATAAATGGCTGAGGTCGGTAGAGCTTTTAAGCAAGTTATGGACTTAAATTATCTGCCGGATTGAGTAAAGTTCAAGTGGGATAAGCTAAAAAATCAATAGGATGAACGATTGTAAAAGGTGCTAAGATGATTGCTTTGAAATGGAAATTATCATAATTTAAGTGATGTCTGAGTTATCCTTCCTGAAGAAGATTTTCTTATAAAATGGAATATTATTGGTTATTCAAATAATATAACTATTTATTATATTTGAATCACAAATAAATACTTCATGTCCGCAACCACGTTGACCGGACGCAGGCAAAACAAAATTGAGGAATAAAACACTCGATGAGAGTGCAATCTTTAGCGCTTTGCACAGATTTTGAAACTTAAGTACAGCTCCAATGGGGCTTATGTATGTATGCTGCCAATTGCTTGCCACTCGACTTATAGTGAGCTAGGCGGCTTACACATGAGTGTGGATGGAGTGGAGCTGGCAAAAGGCAAACACATAGGGTCCACTTCAAAGCATACTACACATACAAACACACGTCCATTTACGTATATAAATATGTATGTGTATTACATACATATAGATTCATATATCAATCACTGGCCCGCACTTAAACTCGACCTCGATGGGCCGAGAACCCAACTCAGTCAAAGTCAACACACAATGTACTGAACCCCCTCCACCTTTCGCTCTGTTTATTTATTTGTGCGCACATCAGTGGACTCTAAGGTCCGAAAGCTGAAAGGCTACCAAGCTTGAAAACTCCGTGGAATTGGCGTCCAGAATGCCCGCCTAAGCATCTGCCAGCGGCACAATGACAACGACAAACATTGACTACGACTACCTGCTCAAGTTCCTGGTACTGGGAGACTCGGGCGTGGGCAAGACCTGCCTCCTCTACCAGTACACCGACGGACGGTTTCACACGCAATTTATCTCCACGGTTGGAATTGATTTTCGGGAGAAGCGATTGGTAAGTAATTGCAAAAATTAACCATTTAACATACATACTTGTATAAACACATTCTTCAAGTTAAGAAAAACATACCCATGTAGGTGCTTCTATTTAAATTTACACAGTTTAGACAATTAATAAGACTAGAGATGGATGTGGCACGGTAAGGTCACGAAATACACTCTGAAAAACAAGCACAACAAACTTTTGCGTATACATATTTATAGATTTTGAATAAGTTTTAAATACAATATCTGTGAAAGAACCCAAAATTGGTACGAGCTGTTTTAATACGATTAAGTTAGGAAAGATAACCAATCAACTGAACATTCAAGTTCATCCTAACCCTGACATAACAGTTGGAACTTAGAAGAAAAAAGAAATTTTTAAAACCCATTCATATCCAATTTTAAGATATTTTTTTAGACACATTATTATTTATCTTTTTTTTTTTATAAAACACGACAATTGCTTTAACTCTCTGTTACTCTATTGACTCTGTGTGCAAAATATTTATTTAACTGCGTGTTTGAAAATATTATTGTTTGAATTATTAATTGAGTTTATTATTCTCTCAATATACTGGGAGAAAGTGAACTTTTAAATGAAGAAAATATCATCACTGGCATGAAGGGCTAGTGGCTGAAGATTCATATAGATTGGCAAAATGTTAGGTGTTCAGAAGTTTGTTTAAAAATTTTCAAAAAAATTTTAAATTTGATGACTGCATGCAAAGATTTTGGACCTTTAGGGGATAATAAGGTATCTACCCCAGCACCGAAAACTATGTAATTATTAATTGATAAGCAATAATAATAAGCTATTGAGATATCTAAATGAATTGAAATATTGAAATAACAAACGAAAATAAATAACGAATTAATTGCTAAAGCATAACTTGTTGGCCAAATAGTTCAATCGTTTTCGAAAGTGGATCGTATGTTTTTTTTATTATTAAATTCTTACGTTAGTCATTACATATTTATTTCTAATTAATTTAAATTTAATATTTTTTAAGGTTGAACCTTCTAATTATACCAAATTTTTGTTTGTTTTTCTTATGTTTGAAGGCATGGCAATACGACCCGCTGGTCCTGATATATGTATAGCTTAGGTTGTAATGGCTAGGTCCATTGTGATGCCATATAATCTCTAATTAATCTCCCTTAGCCATCCGGTGTTATTTAAGAATCTTATTTTAAATATACATGTATTTGAATATTCTTACATGTAGAGTTGCGGGAGCCTGGATCATTCATCTAGATAATAAAAAAAAGCCATTCACTTCATTCCTATTAACCCCAAGCTCGCCTTTCCTTCCACCCAACCGATTATAGGTGTATAATTCGCGCGGGCGACGCCATCGCATACATCTCCAAATTTGGGATACGGCGGGTCAGGAGCGCTTTCGTTCCCTGACAACTGCCTTCTATCGTGACGCCATGGGCTTTCTGCTAATCTTTGATCTGACCAGCGAGAAGTCCTTTCTGGAGATCACCAACTGGCTGGAGCAGCTGCGCATGCACGCCTACTCCGAGGACCCGGACGTAGTGCTCTGCGGCAACAAGTGTGATCTTCTGCAGCTGCGCGTGGTCAGTCGTGAGCAAGTGAGTGCTCTGGCCGAGCGGTATCGCCTCCCGTACATCGAGACGAGCGCCTGCACGGGCGCCAATGTCCAGCAGGCTGTGGAGCTGCTGGTCGGCCGCGTCATGGAGCGCATCGAGAACGCCATGTGCAATCGCGAGCTGTCCCTCCTGATGACGCAGTCCCGCTGTCTGCCTAATTTGGTATTTGGACCGGAGCTGGTTCGTTTGGGGGAGCCGGGCGCGAGCCACGACGTCTCTGAGTCAACGCGTCGTAATTGCAACTGCTAATGGGGGCCATGGTCGTGGCAAGTGGGTGGAATTTGTTCCAAAAGCTCCAAAAATAATTCGTTATAGCTTTGACTCTGTTATTTGAATGTTTCGTCTATATGTTGATGTTGGTTCTACTGTAAATAAATGTTAAATGGAAATTATAAAAACGAAATACTTACGTTCTTATTTTTGTTTTTCAGAGAGACATCTGATCAAAGAAAGAGTGTTTCGATAAACGCTGAAGAACCTGCAGATGTGTCTAGAAATGCTCTCACAATTCCAAACATTGTTTTTAACTAGTGAGACTAATCAGAACTATCTCTAGCCATCCTTACATTCAAGAAAGGCTAGTATTTTATTTCACTTCAAATGTGGTTTAATCATATATGCATGGGCGTAGCCAGGATTTAATTCAGGGGGGGGGGGGGGGGGGGGGGGGGGGGCAAGAATTTTTGGTCGATCTTTTACTATCAAATTATTTGTACTATACAAAAAATACATGAAAAATAGGGAAAAATAGGAAAAAAATAAAATTCAAAATAATGAAAATTTGAAAATAAAAATTTGTGAATAAACTTGCTAAAAAATAAGAAGATTTGTGATCGTGGACATCGAATTTTAACAATTTGAAATTATATTTTTTTACATAAGTCATAAATTTTTATATACTCGTATATACGTGTACATACTTTAAAATTATTGAAATCTAGGTGCCGCCGGTATTATGGCGGCAAAAAAAATAAAGAGGCGTGCAAACGGAGAGAAAAATATGTAATTTTTCTAATGGATGCTGCTCTCAGTTTTAAAATCAATGTATAGCTTGATACTATAAAGTTAATTTTCTAAAAAGAATTCGTTTGCTTCTCAGTTGAATATAATTTTTTTACAAGCTAACAAATATAGGGCTAGTTAAGAGTTATAAGTTGAGCATATGAACACAATGTTTTCATGCCCATATATATAGGTATATATTCTCAACATTATATCTTCACAGCAATTTAGCTGATAAATTAACCGTAGCCATAAAATGGATGTCTTTTTTCGTGATTTTTGTACAATGGGGCACAAATTCAAATTTGTCTGCAAAATTTTTGGTCCGCTCAGAATCTAGGGGGGACAGCTGCCCGCTTTGCACCCCCCTTGGTACGGCCATGCATATATGTTTTATAGAAGTTTATCTATTTCGTTCGCATGCATAGAAAATTATAATTTCTAAATGAAAACCTTAACTTAACTTTAAGAAAGGCTTTTCTTTTTATAAATCTATGAAGAAACAGAAGCAGACTTGGACTTCAAAGCTAGTGATATAGATGTTTTCAACGTACAATAACTACGAACATATTTTATTGTAAATTATATCTATGACTTAATAAAAAAAATTGTAGCTGAAATTGAGAGTATCGTCTGTCCATGGGACCATGAAGCAACATATTTTAAAATCAAGTAGTTATTGATCTCAGTGCTGGTAGTTTTCAAAAAGTTAATCAAACATGTTAGCAACATAACTAAAGATGTTAATATACTCTATATAACTTCAAACTTCTAGCAAACGGCTATGGGCTGAGTAAAAGTTGCGTTCTGCTTTCTTTGTTTCCTAGACTATTGCTTCAGATTTAAATTAGGACTTCCTTGTTGACATTTTTCTATTAATCATATTATTATTTATTTCTATTAATCATATATATTTATTAAATCAAAATTTAAATTCTTTGGCACCCCCTTTTGAAAAAAGTGCCTACGCCCCTGCATAGATATGGACGCAAACCCCTAAAGGAGTAGACGCAATATCGAGATATAAGATCTCTGATATACAAGTACATACGTATTCTATTAATTTCAACTTTATAGCGTTTCTTAACGTTTCTGAAATGTACTGCACTGTAATTCCTTATATTGTTACAAGTTCGCTACAACTGTGGCTTGAGTGCTTTCCAATAAGAACAATAAACGTTCATATTATCGGTATTAAAATTACCTTTAATAGAATTATATAAAAATACATACAAGTATGTATGTATATGTCGTAAGAGTAAGCTAAGTTAGTTTTTCAGAGCGACGCAAGCACACAGTACTGGCAACAGCAACAGCCACGACCACAGATGTAAATGAACGCCTCCATTGCGCTCCTCGATCCATTTATGATAGTATTGTATGTCCACATAGACGCCTGGGAGGCCCGGCTCGGCGCAGCCATAGCCCCAGGAAACGACGCCAACTATGCGACCCTCGTGTACCAGCGGACCGCCAGAATCTCCTTGGCAGGAGTCAGTACCGCCCTGGAGACGACCAGCGCACAGCATTCCCGGCAGCAGTCCAGTGCCATAGATCGCGCGACAGGTCTGGCGGCGTATGATGCTGACGTTGGCGATCATCAGCACATTGGACAGCATGCTCTGCAAATAAATTATAGATTATCTCTCTCTTTCTCCATCTCCATCTCCCTCCCTCTGCTATCAACGTACCTCTTCGGTGCGACCCCAGCCAGCCACTTGGCATGTGGCCCCCACCGGGGTTGGTTCAACGCTCATCTCAATGGGCGCTACAGAGAGGTGGGTGCGGTTGGGCACCAGTCCCGTTCTGAGAAACATCAGACCAACATCGTCACGCATACTGTCCGGACTGAAGGTGTTCATGAAGGCTATGGATCTGACCTCGGACACAATTGTGCCGTTAACGCGCTCGAAGCGATTCTGTGTGCCCATCACCACAATGAATTCGTGGGCCTTACGGTAACGCTTTCGCGCATTACTAGGGAAACAGCGAAATTATTGAACTATCACAGATAGCCATACAAATCGTTGCTCTACTCACTCGTATAGGCAATGGGCCGCTGTCAGGACCTTGTTGAGTCCTATTAACGAACCGCCACATATGTGCCCGCTGCCAAAGTTATTGTCGTGCTTTCGCAGCCGTATGGAGACGACGTGCTTTGTCTCATCCACGTTCGCCACGGTGCCATTGATGATGCGCGGCTCTTGGTGCTGCTCTGAAGCTATCAAAAAGCGTAGTTAATGCATTGTTTCAATCAAAATAAAGTCATGGGGAGATATATTGTAGAATAATAATAGAACGGGCGCAATTTTTCGCAGGAAATATTTGTAACTAGGTCGACGAGGAATATGAATTCCCAAAGTAAAGTTTCGCTGCCTAATTATATCAATTCTTCCCTTAGTATAGTGCTCAATAATGGTAAAGCACAAAAAAAAAGAAGCGCTTAGGAATCAATTTAAATGAAAACAGTTACATTAACATTCTTTTGGTCAAGAGATGTTCAAACATTCTCACAAATTACGAGTTTCTGAACCTAACTTTTTTTTCATGAATATACTTATATAGATATTAACATTGCTAGCGGGTTCTTCGAACAGAAAGAAAAACACAAACTTTTCCTTTGTTGGACTTAGGGGAGTATGCATAACTAGTTTGGTTATTCTATCTCGTATACTTTTCGAGATCCTTGCGTTCACACAGACAGACGGACATGGCTCGACTCGTCATATTGATGAAAATATTGAGCAAATTGCATTTCGTTGCCTGTCCGTTTGTGGACAGTTGCCGACAAAAGTTTCCATTAACGACCTTGCCTCGCTATCTGGTGCATACTAATTACCCCAATTTCCGGTTTGTTGTAGCCCGAACAAGCGATGATTAAAACTCTTTTGACTCTGTCTGACTTTTGTGTTTGTTGGTTGCTGCCCCGATAAAGTACAACCGCGTATCTTTTGTCAATTGTAACATTACCAATTGCTACCAGAACAACGAAACTAAAATGTCAGAGAAGCTGCTCAGCTAAGTACATTCCTCTCATTAGTGCGTTTAGATAAACACAACAGAACTAAGTTCATACGTACATATAGTATGTAAACATGGTAAAAGATGGTTCTCCCTAGAGCATAAATACATACATATGTAAGTCTGTAGTTGCAAACATACGGACGCGCTCTGCATTTCGATCCAAATAATTCGGAAAATTAATTCACAAATTATTAATTATTTATTTTATCATTGAACTATGCATCGTAAATAGCACTCCTTATTACTCTAACTCGACTCGCCCATAACCCAGTAATGAAACCACTTGTGGTCGAATCCAAATGAAAACGATTCGATCTTAAGGAACACCTAAATACAAGCTATTTAAACAGAATCAAAATTCAGAACTAGCCAGAAAAAAGGATTAAAAACAGATATATTCGGTATTATCCGTTTCAAAGAACGAGAGAAATTCCCCAACAAAGCATTGAATACTATATTATAGTATACTTCTCAGATGTTACTAAGCATTCTAATTGCTATTCTTTATCTTCATTTTAAAATTTGATTTAAATTAGAACATTGAATTATTTACAGGAAAAATAAAAATTATGAGAGAAATTATAAACCAAGAGAAATTTAAATCCTTTTGACGAAAACTTAAGACCTGGTCAGATTAATCATTTCTCTTAAACCGGATAATAGCCTATTGAAAAGCTCTAATATTTATAACATACTTGTATATTTAATACTCTTGAAATTCTTGAAATTCATGTATTTAGAAATGGAACTATGTAGCTCTATTTGGATTTTGTAACATATATTAAATATTAAATTATTAAATTAAATTAATTAAACATTAAAAAAATAATAATAGAAATACACAGCTAATATTTCTGTAATCATTTTGAATGTCATTTGTAATTTAATTTGTTTGCATTCTTTTATGGGTGTATGCTTTTAATATTTAAATTTTCCAAAAACAGACTGCCTAATAATAAAAAGTTATGTTTCGTAAATATGCTTTTATCAGCCCATCGTAATTTTTAAATTGATCAAAAACATACTATCTAATAATAATAGTTTTGTTTCGTAAATTATATGTAAATAAATTATCTTACTTCGTTGAGCTTGTAATCTAAAAAAATATCCCAACTTGTTTTTTTTTTTAATTATGAAAAATACAAGACATGCCATTAACGGTTTAGATATAATATAGATTATTATAATTAGATATAATATTTACAGTTTATATAATCACCCCACCTTTGGAGGGGATATTTTTTATATTTAAACAACAACTATATTCAAATAATCCCGTTGCTTTTAAAAGTTGTCACCAAACTAGACAAGCAAAAGCTTATCTTTAGCATTTTCCCATGAACTCATACGAACATATGTAGTTTGTAGAAACAGAAGAAGGCGATACATTTATAAGAATTTAATTCAAATAGTAACCTCTATATGTGAATTTTCTTACACGTTTTGCCAAAAATCAGCAGCAAAGAGAATATACAACATACACTCCCTAAATATACACTACGCATCTTTATTGGATGCACACAAAATTTAAACAAATAATGCAACTTTAAAAAAAAAACTTATACTATTAGTCACAACTAGGCCCTGGTGACACCTGCTTCGCACTGAAGTCGCAAACAAGAGCAACCTATTTCAAGCACATCGACATAATGATCAGCTCTCATCAGTGCTGTAGGTTTCTGGCCGTCTAAAAAAGCTAGATGGGATTTTATAAAACTCCAAGGAAGATAGTAAATAGGCGTGCCACAATAATCTTACTAAAGAAACTCTTTGGTTTCTGCAAAGGAAAAAACTTATAACTTTAACCGACCATGAGAAATATGGTAAAAAGTAATTTTTTATCTATCTCAATCTCTTAAGGATTATTAATATAAATAGAAATATTTCATGTTTTTAACATAATGAGCTTTGGGAGACGCTAAAACTGGCGGCAGAAAAGGCTAAATTAATAACACTGATTGTAATACCAATTGCCAAATCAGTGGCGCACAATATCAGCAAAACTTAGGCAAGATAGTAGCTAACAGCAACCAGCAACAAATAACTCAACAATCATATCGCGTATAATTGTAGTTGACAGCAACACGAATACGAAACATCTCTCCTTCAGATCAATATTATTGTATACATATTTTTATTCATAATTTTGTGTTGATATGCATTACATGAAAATGTGTACGTCGTTTTGGTTCGTTTGTTATTCGAGCAACAATATCGAGAGATACTATTAATATACAATTAATATGTATAACTATTTAGGGCAGTCATAACAGATCGTACTTTCGTCTTAGTTAATATTGCTAAAGGTAAGCTCTTGTTTGAATGATTTTTGCAAAGGCTAATTTAATTTGGCTATGTACTTAATAAGACTTTAACAGATCAAGTGTGAGAGCCCTTTTTGTTTTTACTAAATGCTTTAAATTACATTTTGTGTGTGTGTTATTCATATATTGTAAAAGGTTTTGGACGGCCGTTCTGATGCCACACAGATATCTATACGTACATATCTATGGGCTATAGGAGACTACAAGTAATATTTGTAAGTTTGTATAAGTATAAAAAATTTGCACTAGAAAAGTTGTAAGGCACTTTTGATCAAAAGTACGTAATACGATTTTTTGGGGGACGGCATTAATTACAGAGATTCTATAAACAGATATGTAGAAGATGAAAAAGTTGATTGATAGAAGACCAAAAAAAATATGTATAGAGAGACGCAAATCTAAGGCTACGAATAAGAAAAATTATTACAATAAAATGGAATGCAATGAAGTTTCGTTGCTGCAGTTGCAGGAAACGCTACATTAGCTTTTTATATGTAGCCCTGCAGACTACGCGATTGGCTTTGATGATGACGAGGTGGCTGATAACCTGGCTCCTGCATTTCCATCTGCATCACCAAATTCTTTTGCTCGCCCCGTGCATCATACGCCTGACGGGCCTCACGGTGCAGTATTAAAGCGGCCAAGCCAAGCAGCATGAACGAGACCACCGCCAGTGCATACGACCAGCTGAGCACATTGAACTTTGGATACATGAGCCAGTCGCGACGGTACGCACAGCCACCAAATATACAAATGGCGAGGAACATAAAGAGCGCTGTGGGAAAAAAGTAAAGCCTGAGTTACTAAGTTTATGCAATTTTGTCCATTCAAACATACATGATATGGCCGTGCCCAAATAGGAAAGGCGCACCAGCAACCATTCGTACTGCAACACAGGCTTTAGGGGCAAGCGAATAATTGTGAGCGAGAGTATGGCCAGCACAAAAAACACAATGATGAAGGACATGGTGACAAAAGCCTGTACGGCCATAAGCCAACCAGGTAGCAAATATTCACGTATAACATAATATTCCTGGAAGAGAATTTCGACGATTAGTATTACATTTCAACCCACACACACCCTTACCCCCAGGGATTACTTACATGCGAAAATATGTTGTGACAGCCTGTAAATTGCTTGGGAAATTGATATTTTGGATAAACAAAGTTCTTAAAACAATATTGCCAGATGCCCATATTTTTAAAGCTGCTGCGTGTCTCCTCGTACGATTCAATCCAATAGGGCGAACAGAAAGACATCATGAGCACGAAAAAGCTCACGAAAGTCACAATTGCTCCAAAGACTACACCATCTGCAAGTAACATTAACCAAAAGCCAGATGTAAACACCACTGGATGTTCGGTGCTCCAAAAAGAAAATTCTTTGGGTGTGCTGTGCGTCACTTACTTGTCGTACGCGGATAGTCGCCTTTCTCCACACCACTGTCAGTGGTGTCTTGGGACTGCTGCTTGCCAAAATTGCGCATTTTGAACACCAACGCTATGTATTTAATACAATTGGAGGAAAAAACAACGCACTTTTAATTAAAATCTATATACATAAACAAATAAAACACGCTCAAGTAAATGCACACACCCAAGCTAGGTGGGGCGATAAACAACAGCTGGCAGGTGTGCAACTTATGCACTTATCGATTATTTATTCGATGACTACCATCAGTCACGAGTATGGTCATCGTGCATCACTAATTACAGTTGCAGCGCGAACTACTGTGGCTGAGACTATCGCGATTTTTTTTACATTCCGGTGCAATTTAATATTATTCAAAAACAATTTTATTGTTATTAGTAGTCGATGCGACACTTCCATAACAACGTTGACTCGACTTGCCATTTATAAAATTAAGTCATTCTAACTTTCTACACTCAACACCATCCACCGATTGTGCAAAGCTTTTTGCAATCGTCGTTGATTTTGAAATATATAAACACGACTGTGTAATAATTACAATTGCCGTTGGCAAACTGGCAGCACTGAGCGCGCTAACGCATGCGCTTTGAAAATAGCCCGCGTACAATTTAGGGCGGAAACGCTTTTCTGATATACCAGAAATATTTTTGCTGTCGTGCTGTGTATTAAAACGTATCGAACGGTTTTTAAAAGCGGTCACATACCACGGCCGACGGTGAACCATGTAAAGACGAGATTAGAACACCGTTAAATCTAAAACGTCAAGTGCACACCCAACCGGCCATGGCAGTATCACAGTAACTCTTTAATACGCGCATTTATGTATATACGTTATTAAAATAAAATCCTTTGAATCGTGAGTGCCGCATAAAGTCCTAATGGATAAATCATAAAGTGGGTGCATAGCTAATGAGTAAAAAATATTCATCAATTTTATATATGGTGCGCACCTGCGCCCACGCATTATAACTGTGCACATACAAATGTACACATATTACAAGTAAAAAAATATACGTTGCACATTTCTCTGCTGCATAAATATGTATGTAGAGTGTACATACAAATATACACAACGTACATACACATGAATATGGATATGCACATACATACATATATTTGAATTCGTTTTATGCCATACACATTCATTCTGAGAAATAAAGCTATAAAAGCTAATGGAACGTTGTGCTTTAGGTTGAATTGTATACATAAGTTTATATGTGTGTGTATGCAAGTAATTCCAACACAGACGCACCTAACATGTATATACGTAGATGTGTAAAAATGTGTATGGCTATGTGTGTGTATCCTCACCGAAAACATTTTTCATGCACAAAACAGGACACAAGCAGGCAGCATTTTTGTATATTTAATTAAATCAACCCAACTTCATGTCAAGCACCTGAATTTGTGCAGCTGCCAAAAAGCAACAACAAAAATATTAGGCCAAAAGCCCATCTACACACATCTATGTATGTGTGTATGTACATATAGCCCAAGTTAATGTAAAGTCGCATCGGAGCATCATCCCAACAGCAGCTTCCTTCATTCGTGTAGGGGCCGAGCTCGATCTCCGATTAGCAAAAACGCCGAACGAGTGTAAAGGGATTCGTCGGGCAACGGGCCGGCCAGCAGAGGGTGTCGATTTTTCCTATTGCTGTGACTGGGCCCACAGGACTCTTCTGGTGCGCACTGCATGCACATGTGTGGGTGTCGGTCGTTTCTCTTGCTTTTAAAGCGAAAAGTTCAGTGGCTTCAAAAGTCAAATCAAATAACAGCAGAAACAAGCAAACAGCTGCTGATGTCATGGCAGGAGGTTTGCTGCTTTTTCCTGACAATGCTGAGTGTGCGCACGATAACGACGATGATGGGGACAAATAAATCGTCTGTCCCATGTTGTCCATGCCCATTCGGCTATATGTCGTCGTCAACTCAGAGATTCCTCCTCACCCACCAGCATTAGCAACACATAGGCATACAAACATACATACAAATGTATGTACATACATACATATAAATATGTATCTTGCCTGCCGGCACGCAATGTAAACAATGCCCAAAAGCAAACATGCATACAAACATACAGAAAAGCACACACGCATACTATGCTTGCATACATAAACATCCGCTTGATATTTTCTTAGCATTTTTTGCAATCATGCGCGCTTAATTTGCAGCGCTCCCAATTCGTGTCTAAATAAATAATTGCTTGTCCATCAAGGAGACAACAAATAAGAAACGTTTAACAACAATAATAACACCAGGCACAATAGCCGTAACGTTAAAATGTTAATTCGTTGGAAAAGCAAAGATAAAAGCGCTGCAACAAATCAAAGCAGTAGTGGCAGTGGCAGCTCATCATCAAAGAAAAAACGCAAAGGACGCGAAGGAGGTAAGTGCAAAATTACGCAGCTTAGTTACACAAAAGGAAATAAGAAACTTATTTATCAAAAATCTGCAGTTGTGTACACATACATATACATAGTACATACACAGTGCAGTTGCCTTTCGCCGTCAGTGTGACCAAACAAATTTTGGGCATGCCAATGCAGCCACCGCCTTTTGCACAATTAATGCACACACACACCCATACACTCCCCCATACACGCAAGGCATTCGCAGGCAGTGTTGTTCGAGCTGCGCCAGCATTGCCAGCTAAAAAACTTCTGATGTTACTGCTGCGATTTCTTGTATTTTCGTATCTGTGTGTGTAGGTTTGTTCGTTTGTGCTTGTGCGTTTTTTGTGTGCAGGCAGGCAGGCGCACTTTAAAATTCATTGCAATGTTCGAAGCAATTCCCGGCTCATTGCATAAATTAAAGTTATATTGCTTTTCATGTCATTGAGCGCAACTAACGGTATTGCTTTGTGCCTTGCAGAAGAAGACTGGCAAAATGAGAATAAATCAGGACGCATGCCGCCCAATGAGCAAGGTAATAAAAATAACTTCTATCTCCCACTTCCTCGCCTCCTCCTATTCAACACCCACATTCGCAAGCAATTGAACGAGGTATTAATTTGTATTTATATTGGCAGGCGGTGATGAAAGACGCCGAGCCATGCGTCGCGATGATCCACGACGTCACACACTTGGTGGGGATATGCTCGTCTATGGCGGGTCACAGCATCCACACCCACATCAAATGGCGCCTCAGCAGCAACGTGCCATGGACTTGGAAGTAAGCTAATTTTTATACATATATGTGTATATAAATGTATTCATTTATCATTAATTACATATTTATTAATTTTAGATGAGCACACGGGCACAGAAGAATAAGAAGAATCAACCAATGCGCGGCTATGCACCCGTCAATCAGGGTCCACTTTTCGACGATGATCCCGGAATTATGTCCGAGGTGGAAACGGCCAGCACTGGCTTTCGACGTGGCGGCAAACAACGCTCATCGCTGCCCGTGGTCCGCACACCCTCTAAAACACTGGAGCGACCACTAGGTCTGGTCTTTCTACAGTATCGCTCGGAAACGAAACGCGCCCTGTTGCCCAACGAAATAACCTCGATCGACACGGTGCGTGCCCTATTTGTGCGCTCTTTTCCACGCCAGCTTACCATGTCTTATTTGGAGGGGCCGAATGTTAAGATCTACATACACGATGCCAGCAAGGATATGTTCTACGAGCTCGAAGATGTGCGCTCCCATTTGCGCGAAATACGCGATCGGTCTGTGCTGCGCCTATTTGAGTCGACGGAGGTGGCTGCACCGCCACAGATCTTGCCGGGCGGTCCTGGCATACCGCAACCCTTGCCGCAGGCACAGGCGCCGGCTCATTGGGATCAGGATCAGAGCTATTTTAGCGAGCCCGAGTTCGATTCGGACTACAAACATCAGCACATACACAAGTCGAAGGTGAGTTTAAATAGAGTTTGTTTTTATTTAACACAGGGCCAACATACCCTGTCCTCCATGGCTTGCCCGACGGTACTACTTACATCAAACAAACATACAGACATGCATACATGGACAGCAAAAAAAAAAATTAGTTATATATATAAAATACGAATTATTATTATACAATGTAACTCGAACACGAAATTTACATAAAGCGTGTGCGCAGTGCAAGCAAACGGCATTCCATCCTATACTGATCAGTCCACCGTGCGCCTCTCACTGCGTTAAAGCGTTTTCCATTGGCCAGGAGCACGACTAAAAGTTGCCGCAAGTGCCCACACTGGAACCCTTGAGCACATTGTTCATGCGGTCGCTTACATCCTTCCAGGCGAACACGATTGCTCCCTGGAAGGGCTCCGCATCGCAACTGCTGCAGAGCGCCATTACCGCCTTCACCTCCTCTTCCGCGGGCTCACGATCGTGCGTGCTGATCTCTTCCTCCAGATTCATTTTTTGCGTTAGGTCGTGCTTAAACTGTTGCCCTCCAAAGTCGGCCAGGCCATTGTATTTGCTGTAATCCTCATCCGCCGCATTGAGGCCATCGTCAACCAAAGAGCCATCATCGAGCAGAACCAGACCGCGTTTCTGCAGCTTCTTCTCATCGTCATCATCACCCTTCGCTTGCCGCTTATCGGCCTTTGAACCCGCCTCCCGTTTGAACTGAATATGGGTCTCTGTTTCGTCAATGAACTGCACATTAGCCGAGTTGCTCAGCATGTGGAACTCGCCCGAAGGACCAGCTATGCCGCCGCTTGTTGCTGCTCCAATGGGGCGACGCGGCTGTGGCAAGCGATTAGCACCAGGAAGCGAGATAAGCTGTTGCGCTATTAAACGGGATCCGGTGCTCATTTGTCCGTTTACAAAGTTAGTATTGATAGTGATGGCCTGTTGTTGTTGTTGCTGCTGTGGCGATGGCAGCGCCTGTGGCAGCCCCGATTGCAATTGAGCCTGCGATGGATCCTGAGGTGGATTGGCCAGATTGATGCGCACGCGTGTTGGTATTTGTCCACTGGCCAACAGTTGATTCATTGGCTGTGGTCGATTGATCTAGTCGCAGAGAATATAGGGAAAGGGATAAATAATTTTTATTCAGTTATACTATTAGATCTTATACTGCCCCTGGGTTATTCAATAGGTTTTTTTTACTTTTTGACGCAAACATATACATATCATCAAAAGGCACTAATATATGTAATCAATATGATTAACAGGATGTTTGCTTAAGCTATGCCTGAGATAAGATAAATGTCTTGGTTAGTTATTATCTCTATACAAAAAAGGGGTGTCAAACAGGAAGCTACAATTCATTCCAGGTCTCTTATCTAAATGGATACTGAGATAAGATAAGAGGAGAATGACAAAATGCTAGAAAGATGTAAATAAACCTTTGGCCATTGCTTATCGTATCGGGTACAATTAGGAGTTACAAGCTAAAGAAAAGAGGCTTACGACACTTCTAATCTAGTCTATTGAGAGAATACTCTTATACTTTTTACACTCGAGTTTTTAGCTGTGATACGAAATCTAGCGAAACTTTCAAAGTAGAGTTGTGGTGCAATCCTTGATGATGCACTCAACAATTTTATCTCTTGAGAACATCAAATATGAATTTCGATGATGTTAAACTACAACTATAAACAAAGTTTGTTATAAAACAAAACAAAATTAGGTTACTTTTTGCAATATTTGAATAACGGAAGAGCCTTAAAAAATGTGTGTATTCCGAAAGGTTTTAATAGAAAGAGTATCCCCTAGATTACTTACCACTGGTGGTGGACGCGTTGTGCTCGATAGTTCCTGACCCTCGTGATCGAAGTGATGGGCATGATGGTGCTTATGATCGCGATGCGCCTTGCCCGCGCTCAGAGCCACGCGATAGACTTGAATGAGTGTTACCTCAAAATGGAGGCCCTGACTTACATCGCCGGTTACGGAGGCGCCGCCGGAACGCAATTTGCCATTCGATGGTATTTTATGGCCCACTAACTGCAAAAACATATGCAACAACAATAACAACATTCGTGGATTGAGTAAATGGCAAAAAGTTTAAGTGAACTTAGCAACTGCAAAACAAAAAAACAACAGCAGCTACAATAATAAATAAAAACAAGAGCAACCGCAATAACTTTGACGGTGGCGATGAAAGCAAAAGTCCGAGCTTAATAACGCAATTCGCTTAATTACTTAAGCCAATCTCAAATAGCGACCATTGCACCGCAAAATCATCGCCCAAGTTACCGTCGTTGTCGGTTGTCTGTTGGTCGTTGCTCGTTGCTTGTTGTTCGTTGTCGCATCATTGCAAAATAGCAAAAGCAGAAAAAAATGCCGGTGCTGTAATTGAAAACTACCGCTCGACTTTTTTGTTGTTGGCGCTGAGCCTCTACTCACCGAATTGTGAAAGCCACGCCCAATGCGCTCCGCCTTAAGCCAGACCTGCCACTCGCCCGTCTTGCCATTCCATGAGCTGCACATGTGATGCCATTGCCGCTTACGTAGCGGATAGTTTAATCTAAGCGACAACGGAACCGAATCGAGACGCATTCAAATGGAGACATATAGACAACGTAATAGTTCAGATAGCCAGCCACTCAGTGAGTCAGTCGGTCAGTCAGCCAAACAGCCAGTCAGTCCATCGGTCTGTCTGTCTATCAATCAGTCACTGCTTGATTGCACTGAAAGCCTCACCGACCGCCTCTTTAGCTGACTATTCCAATGCAATTGTCAACGTACCTGTACACTTGCTGACCTTTTATGGCCATCGAAAGAAAACTGGAATTTCGCGCGTTGGCGACCCAGATTTGCACCTCGCGCGGTTCCTTTGGTACTGCGGGAAAATTAAATGGAGTGCGATTAATAAAAAGGTGGGAAAATACAAAAAAATAAAACGTTCAAATGCCATTGATGGCATTTGTATGTCATTGTGAAATCTTTGCAAGCTCCAAATAGCCAATAGTTAGTCTAATGACTTGTTGCTAATTATTCTACAATTGTTATGGAACTACAGCACATCGAAAGTAAGAGCTAACTGGCACATGGACTTATAAAATAACAACATAGTGTTCATATAACTATGGGAATAATACAGAAGCAGCAATATAACTTTAAACTGAGTAATATAGGGGTCCAAAAAATCGGACTACTTCTAGTAAAAAAGAAATGCAGTTAAGGTTCAAAAACTAAAACTTTAGTACCGATCGTGGCAAATCATTCTATGTGTCTTTCAACCAAAAATAAAAATGGGATCGCAGTTGTTCGCCCATATAAAACCAGAGTTTATTAATGAACCAGACAGTATAGAAACCATTGTTATCATACCATATTATTATCATGGAAAACTTTAAGATGTCACCTTTCAAGCTAAAATTAAAAAAAAAAAAAAAAGAACAATTGTAGCCACTATAGTTAAACACTAAAAATCAAATATTTTGTTGTTGGAAAACATGCGTTTAGTGGCTTCCTTTAAATTGCAAGATATTTAAAAGTATGACCCTCTTAAAATGCTATGTTAAAATTAAAAATGTGGGTATAACAAGAGGTTACGAAAAAATTAGATAAAAAAAGAAAAGTTTAAATGAAATATTTGCCAATTTGATAGACACAATATCGATTTATGTTTCATATCTGCAGCCGCCTAAATGTTTAGAATTAGATGTACAAAATACACCTAATTCTGTTTTTATACGGTAGATTGGTACCTAAAAAAATCGTGTAAAAAACCTTGTAAAAAAAGACATTGATCATATGCAAAATGAATCGTGCTAAATGGAATAAAGTCGTGTAACCATATATAAAATTTTTAATTTTCAAACCATGTAAAAACAGAATTAGGTGTAATTGTGCTAATAGTCCAGGATATGCCGTAGCTGAAGATATATAGCGTTCTAGTATCAAGTACACCCAAGAGAATGACTTCCCCTACTAGGCGTACCTAGACTGCTCTGGAGAAATGGGGAAACCACTTTAATGAAAGTGTCAACATAGAGATGCGGCAATCGTGAAGCTGGCAGCTCAAGTCACAAAGCGCAGGTGTGAATGTGTAATCTCTCTGGTTGGGGTCAGTGGCATCCTCTCATGGTCATGTGAGGCGATTTGCTGGCGTTACATGAGTGCCAACATACAGCCCAACAGGAAAAGCAATGCAACAAACAATTTGTTAGGCACCGTCGCGCATTTGCATATTTATTTTTAGCTTAAAACCCCAATCCTGTTAGCACAATTAATGAAAGTTTATTTATTTATTTATTTTTGAAAAGAAAATAATAAGTATAAAAAAAGAAAAAATTTAAAAAAAAAAAACCAACGACAAACGATTTCCTATTGACGACACAAGTTGGGCGCGCACGCCCGACCGTTAATTGGCTCGCGCCTTCCCGGCAGCTTAACAGCCCCTCTCTCCACCCCATCTGGCCACCCTGCCAGTCTGCCACCCTACCTGACTGACTTACTTGCTCACTGGCTGGCAGCATCGCTCGCTGGACATATTGAGCTTCGCTAGCATTGCATCTTTGGAATTATGTCAAATGCTAAAATAAAAACAAAAACAGTTACAGCAACGACAACGACTTAGGCAGTGCGACCGCGACAACAGTAACAACAACAATAACAACAACTAGCTGGAAACTGGTAAAATGATGATTATGCAATGCGACCGCAATAACAACAACAACAACAACAGCGCCGCTAAGCCGTGTGGCAGTAGAAAAATTTTCAATAGAAAAAAAGAGAAGAAAAAGAAAGATGTTGAAAAACGAAATGTGTGCATATATAGCAGCACGTTGATGCCACGACATCAGAGCGCATCATAATAAAGATCATCATCAATACCATCATAATCAGCAGCATTTGATGATCATCTTTATAGACTCCGAAAGATTAAGGCGTATAGCTCATCACATTTCTAATGTGCGCGGCTCAATTCAGTCGGTTGTTGGGTTGACTGGTTGTTTGGTTGTTGGATTTGTTCAGTTGATGCTCTCTCTGACAACAAGGCATCAACTGGCGATCAACAATCAACGTTCAACATTATTTGACCGCTTGCGGAGCGACAGCGATTCGCATCAGGAAGTTGGCTTCCTTTCACTTTTTTGTTTCTTTCTGACCAGGTGCGAGCGTTAGAGCGTGGCCCACAAAATCCATTGCCCCCTAAGCTCAACTACTATATACTCGTGAAGCGAAGGTCTCGCCTATATTGTCAGTTATCAGTCTGTGTGTGTGAGCATCGTTTTATATTTGTCTTATGTAATGCACGAATTACTAAAGGCCTGTTTAGTCGTATTTCTCATCACCATTATTGTTATTTTAATGGCAATAATCTCTCAAAAACTGATTAGTTAAAAGTTCGTGCTACCCCTTTTGGGTGTTTAATATGAAATGCAGTCTCAAAATCTCACATTTACACTTGACTCAAAAACATAACATAATAATTTGTATATCCTTGCAAAGGGTGTATTGCATTTGCTCTAATATCCAACTTGTCCCGAAGGATACGGATCCCATATATTTATATAAGTAGTATGAGACGAATCTTTATAGCCCTATATAGCCCTTTTTGTTTTAAATCAAATTTAAATTTCCAACAGAAAACTTCACAAATATTTAAAGAACTATTGGCCGATTTGGAAAATAAACAGCAACGACTTCATAGTTTCCGCAGCAATCAAACCAAATGTTACACTCCTATTTGAGGGGCTTATTATAATATTCCAACATAGGAATGGTCAGATATTTTTAAAAAATCCATATGTTTCTTAATACATAACCAATATGATTACAATATGCTCATATGGTTATCATATAACAGCCATAGATCCGATCAGCTGGAACGAAATTTGGTTGTTGCACCAATGATGAGAAGATTTTAAAAGCTATCACACAAAACAAACAAACGTAAGGGTATAAAAGCTTCGGCATCCCGAAGCTAGCGATTAATTTCTGATATGAACATGAATACGATGTTAAATTCTTATCACCTGCACCGCAATTAAATGTAGAGTGTCTGGGGCTTTAATATTCTAATTTCTACATGATAAGAATTCCCTATATCTATTTAAAACTTCCCTATTAGTTCACATAAATTTTAAATGTGAGCCGCAACAGTATTTAATCGAACCTAAGCTTTTTAAAGCAAAACTTGAATTAATGTTAAAAGTTGCTATAAATCGCGATAATAAACCATCTTGTCGAATTCGCATTTAATTCTAAAACAGTTCCTACCGAATTCTATCAACTGTTGTGATATGCCCTAGAGGAACTGATTGTAGAACAAAACGTGTGTATGTGGCTCTTTTTTGGAAATGTCTGATCAAAACAAGTACCGGAAAGGTATTACCACAGAGTACTACTTACTCTCGTAGGTCAGCAATACGTGATCGCCACTGTGGTTGGTGAAGCGCATCCAGAAGCACATCGTGAACTGATCCAGTTCAGGCAACTTATTTCCATATTCCACCTCGCCATCGTGATTGAAGGCGAACTTCTTAACGCTGCACCGATCTGAGCCGTAGAGTGGCGTGCGAGTGAATCCCAACGGTGAGTCCTTGCCAATGGTATCCTCCAAGCTGGCATACGAGTCATAATGATCGTCGAGATGGTCGTTGAACGAAATGGGATGTTGTGCTGTTAGCGAGGAAACAGCCGCTCCCTCAACCCCATTGACAACAGCCGAACGGGGCAACAACAACTCATCGTCGTCCTGCTTGTGGGCATCGAACTGGGAGTAGCTGGTGGCCGGTCCCAGAGCGCCCAGCTCGGAGCCAAGTTCGGCGCCCGGATGCGATTGTTTTAGGCTGAACGAAGTGCTGCCCAGAGGTGGATCGATGGGTTTCCAGGCACTGACCAAATGCTCGCTTATTAGCGACGCCAACAGCAGTGCCCCCATCATATATCCCAAATTATCCAAAGATCCCATCCTATGGGCTGGACTCTGAATTAATTACTTCACTTTTAACGCGTTCGTAACGTCCGATTGCGGCGCTGGCTCGCACTTTACTAGCAAAACGCGCTGTGGCGATGGTCTTGTCGTCTACGCATTGCAACGCCAAAGTTGAGCTCAGTTGGGCCAAAAATTACAGCAACAATAACAACAGCAGCAACAACAACAACAACATTACAACAAATATTAAAGCTTGATGTCTGTCTGCTTGTCTGTCCGTCTGGGCCGCACGTCGCGCTCAGTTGTAACAAATTGTTGTAAAAATGTTGTATTGAAATTGAAACTGGTTGAGGTTTTGATTCACTGAGACTATTGCTGCTGCTGCTGCTGTTGTTGTTATTGTTGTTGTTGTTGTTGCGATGCCGAGAGCTTTCTGTTTCAATGCAACACGACTGGGGCCACCACTTGCACTGCAGATATAGCTTGGAAGCTTTCCGCTGAAGAGAGGGGCTCGCAATCATCCCACCATTGGAGCCAGCACAAACCCATGCCAACCATACCTATAGTATAGCAAAGCTATGGTACGAGTATATCACAGCATCCAGCGCATATGTAATGATGTTTGTACAATCGGCAATGCTATGTGTGCCTTCTGCTAATTAATTGCTCGCCGAGTCCAACTCGGAAATGATTTGCATATGGCTTTGGCCGTTCTAGGCTATACCTATCTATGTATATGGTACGAGTACTGAACGCCAAGGCAGCTTACGAATTTCCCCCCACATCATGTACATAATAAGTCTGTGGATATGTGTGTGTGAGCACACTACACTTCGAAAGTTAACAGCCCGATGAAAAATGCAAGTAATGCCCTTCGCCAAGAGGCGATTTTTTTCTTCATTTTTTTTTTTTGAATTGCGAGGGAAAAAATGCAAGCCTTCATTTCATGTCTTTGTCAAAGTCAATTGTTATTGAACATAATATCGTTACCCTGCAGTTCATTAACAAGTTATTGACGAACAATTAAGTCCAAATGACTTCATTCATATTGTCAGAAATTTCGATCATAAACAAAGACTTTGGAATTGCCTTTTGATATTTATGTTCTATTTCTTTTTTAATTTCGAAAGTTTAAGAACGAGAGCTATATGACTGACAAATGTTATCTTCCTTCGAACATTTAAGAAATATAACAAATTACAAATTAACGAATAAATCAAATATCTTAAACTTTTAAGAAATATAATAAATTACTTTAAAATACGAGCAAATCAAATACCTTAAATGGAAAGAATATAGGTAGCTGGCTTTTTGATTAGAAAAGAAAGTTTCCGTATTTTATTTGAAAACATTTTCATAGCTTTAGCTGTATCTAAATAAAAAAAAAACATTCTTTTATAATAATTGTAAACATAAGTACTAGTTTGTTCAGATTTTTTTTTCAGCAAAAAATTAATTTGAATGGAAATTGAATTTTATAACAAAGTTTTTGGAATCCAATTAAATGTGTTTTCATTGCGTAGTTCGATCCTGAAAACCTGAATCACTTCCTATGCTAAACAGCATTTTTTAATTCCAGAATGTTTAGTGAAATCGTGTCTAAGAATATTCCATTGAAAATAAAAATAAAGTTAGCTTAATATAAGTTTAGGTAGCACGTCGCCAAAGTTAACAATTTTTTATAATTTCTAATAAAATATTTATAATTAGTATTACGAATGAAATAATTAGCTTGCTATAAAAATAGGTAGAAATGCAATTCTTAGAAACTTATAAGAACACATAAATGGTTTTTTAATGTGGTTTTAAGAAGGGTAGAAGGGCTGGCGGCTAAAAATGCTAAAAACCAGAAAACTGAAAACACGACAATTTCAAAACAGATTTTCAATTCCATTTCGATTCCGCTGATTTGCGAAATTCACAATAAGCAGGAAAAAACAAAGACCAAGTATTGCAGGGCATTTAAACATAAGAGTCGCAAAAAGTCAATAACATTGGCAATTGTTTTTCAATATCAAGCAGTGACGATGCATCGCAATGCCGCATGGTCCCACAACAGACACTGAGGGACCAAGACAGCAGTAGTCAGTGGACAGTGTTTGGCAAGAGTTTGGATTAGCGAACGGGTTGGGGTTGGGCCTAATGCCAATATATACCAATACGTTCGCGTAATTGAAATCTTGTGTCTCCATTATTGTATTACACACATGCTGTTAGCCCATCACAGGTAGGTTGTCGGTGTTTTGGGTAAAAACAAGAAACAAACAGTAAAAAAAAAGATGTAACATTAAACAACAATTGTGTTGTGGCTTGGGTATGCGGAACCACGAATACTCTCGATAATTTGGCATTTCAGCACAGAACACGTGTCTGCTGTTTGATGCGAGCAATTACTACGGCGCCTTTATGGTAGTACGTGTACTATTCTTGATTCGTATTCCGGCATCAGCGGAGCGAGCAGCTTCCACCAGTCCGCGTGCCTATTCCCAAAGCTTGTAGGCCATTAGAAATTTCGCTGGAATTGACATTGAATTGTTTTATTGTGTCATGTACTTGGCAACAATGGACGCCAAAGTAAACCCTAAAAGTTGTGAGCTATAAGCCAGAAGACATTTCTGTGGATCTCACAACGAGTTTAATTTACCTGGAACGGTTGGTTTTATGTCCTTTTCAAATTTAACTCAAACAACCAATAACAAATGAACTGCCTATGAGGGGAATACAATACTTCAAAATTCAATTCGAAGAGAAACTGAAAGCAGCTACGTAGAGTGTATTAAACGTATATAAAAAATGCTGAACTAAATACTTAGTGTTTGTCTGTCATACCGAAGGGCACTACTAACAAACGAGTATTTGAAATTGAAATTTATTGCCTTGCAATAAAAGTGAAATTAATTAAATTTCGCTGTTCGCGTCTAGTTCGAGGCCAATTGGCAACGATGTGTACAATTAATGACGTGCATATTTATTATTGAAATGTTGCTTGCAGTATGACTGATTGCGAAACACCAGCCTAGTCTTAAAAAATATAAATAACAGAAATTAATACACAAATATGCTGCAACACTAATTAAACACATGGAAGGTGTGCAAATTTTGTGCGAACTCCAGACTATTAGCGCAAACCTTAGCGCACTCTGTTGACTCACAAATCTTGCTGGAAGGGGTTTATCTTCAAAATAATCACCTACCGACTCAATACAACATTTTGCCCCTCGAACCACATTAGAATGGTGCTACAAGCCTTTCTTTACTTCGACTTTTTTATAGCTTTTCATTCAAAACATTATTATATTATATCGCTAACCAATTTTTATTCCCTGTAGACGTAGCAGATCACTTGTTATAGGTACATATCATTAGCATCACGAGCAGATTCGATAAAGACCTGTTCGTCTGTCCGTCTGTATGAACCCTGTGAACTATTTAACCATAACAGCTAGGGTTGCAAAACTTGGCATGCAGACTTGTCTTATCATTACGGAGAACAAGTTTTTTTCAAATCGGAAATAATATAGCTTTCTTATTTTATATATCTGCTATATGAAATCACTCTTGGTATAAAAACTTTTCTGATAATTTCGATAGCGTAACTAAATCTGGTATTCACCATATTCTGAAATATTCTTTAAATCGGTCAACTATATGATTGCTACGACAACGTTTGGTTTTGTTGAACGGCTGTGACAACTTTTTATTGATATATTTTATGCTGGAAATAGCGCAGAACAAACTTTAAAGCGATGAAGATGGTAATATTTGATTGCTTTAATATATTTTTAGACTTCCAGCTTATCAAAATCAGCGTCAATATTGTTTTGAGTGATATTTAATCGCTTTCTATAATTGTTTCCTTCTAGGTTGGCAAGCAACCAGCGCCTTACTATGTGGGCTCATCACAGACATTGCCACGTGGCATGTACTCTTCGGAACGTAATAAAGTGTCTATGGGTGCGTAATAAATTAATTGTACAAAATAATTGTTTTATTTTTTTGTTACATAAATATATATAGCATATTTGGGTTTGTTTTTTAGATTGTTCATATTATTGCTTTGGGCTAATAGCATGTTGTTTAATAGCATTGATATCTGAACAGTCAGAAAGCATACCTTCCCATATTATTATCCATGTTGCGAGCAAAAGAATGTACCCAGGAACGTTCTGTGCAATACTTGTACGTAAACAAAATAAAATTTGTTGACAGACAGCCTGTTAGGTTGAACAAAAAGTGATTTAATAATCTGTATAATTAGCTATGTCTCAAGGCTGAATAAGGAATGCGATTGAAATCTCTTTGTTTATGCAGAACAGACTCATTTGATAGGCTATTTAGGCTTCTTATCCGTAGACCCTACATCCCCCTATTTATGCTTTAGTGCCTGTTTAATCATAATCGTTGCACGGTTTTAATTTTATAGACCGCATGCGGTTGCCAAAAAAAATAATAATAATAATGAAAAACGCTCTTAGATTCCATATGCGAATGCTATTAAATTGAAAAGGATTTTTTGCCAATTGAAGTGAAGATTCGTAATAATGATTGCGTATATTTTTAAAGGACATTACAATTTAAGGAGATTTCCAAATTTGACTTTTATAAAATATTTATGGGGGATTCTCTCACGTTTACCAGAGTTCTCTGATCACAAATTATTACCATTAATGCTTTAAATCGAGATATCAGTTGCATTCGTGCAGAAAGTTGATCCATAAACATCTTGCTAGTAGTTCCCAATAAATTCCTGATCCCGCGCAAGTAATATAAATTTCTATTTGAGATTTGCAATATTCCATGGGATCCATCTAAATCGTGATTTTTTGAGTAAGGCGCTTGTGCTTTGATTTGTTAAGATATTTAAGTAATTTACATATCGAGAACATTTGAAGATTTTTAATGTTATTGTGCATTTAACCATTTCCATTAAATGAAATACATTTTGTTATTGTATAATTGTTTAAAACACAAATACACACACACAACTAAATATGCGTTTCTGAACAACAACAAAAATATCGAAAACAAAACATCAACATACACATGTAACTTTATTAAAAAAAAACAACAAAATATACAATAATAATATTAAAGGAGCGCCTGTGAAACCACTCAGAACGCATAATCCAAGGGGTAGCATGGAACCCCTGTTTCCCTATCCCCCGGATCAGTTATACAGTATACCAGGTACACGTCTATATACCTATCTACATACATATCATCGGTCTCGGATAAAAAGAAAGCAACTTGCATTTTCATGAAAAATTAATATAAAAATTTTAATTTTTATTCCTTTTGAATTGTGCATGTTTTTAATTGTTTTTTTTTTTTTAATTTAATTTAAATATTTAAAAAATATATATTCCTTTGCTAAGTCTTCTGCAAACTCGGAAGAAATTGTGAGCTACTCCCTATCTATCCGAGGCAGACGATAGTATACGTATATATACATTATATTTATGTTTGCATATACATACATATATACAACGAGTGCATACATATGTACAAGTATGTATGTATGTATCTATATGTATATGCATTGCGTTTTATTTTATGGGTTTACAACAAATCGACCAATCCAATTAGCGAGCATTCTCTTCAATAATTCTGCATATCATAAGTTTCCTTCAAGTTATTCAAATTGCTAAAAAAAAAAAATTCGCCTTAATTCATACTTATAACAAATTCACGAAGATCGCAAGATCGATTTACGCCTAGTCTGAACTGCACTTTTAACCGAGATTACTTTGCAGACGGATACACTAGCTCGCCGGAGCGCAGCACGCGCGGCAACTACGAGGAACCCTATTATAGCCAGTACGGCACTCGCGGGGCCGTTGTGGCGCCCATTATCGACGAGGAGCAGAGGTAAGTGATCCTTAAAGTCGAACATGAATTCATTAATGCCTAACCAAACCCCACTTCTCTGTGCTCCCGGCCATCTCAGTGATGTGGCGCTCACCGAGGATCAGTACGCGCTGTACGGCATTAAAGTGGGCCCCGGTCGTCTGCCGCATCGTGGCAACCAGATCTACGACCCAACCAGGTGAGCATAGGCCAGCTGTGGTTTGTCACGTACTGCCCTCATGTACGTCGCATAGTCCTGTAGCAGCAACCGGTGCCTGGCATCTGCCTGTCGCTTACTCCGTCTATATATCTTGATGCGCTTCACATTGCCATTAGTTGTGGTGGCGGCGGCGGTGGCCACCGGATGAAAGTATGTGGTCCCCTTGCTCTTGATAGCATGAACGATGAGACAAAGCAAGTAGCCGCCAAAAGAGAGAAATGCTAGGGCCGTAATACTGATTTGGAAAAGTGTTTGCAGCTTAGAGGGTTTCGGCTCGACCCAAGCGGGCGCATGGTGATCGCTTTCCCAGGAACCGCCCATACCGCTACCACTGTGTGGTGGATGATGATCCCCACTGTAATAGAATAGACCACCATCGAGCACCATGGAGCAAGTGTGATTGTAATTATAACTTATCCACCTACCGATCGGCTGCCATTAGAGCCATGCGCTGAGGCTGCTCTGGTGTGGTGGAGGACCGACTGCAACTCTCCTGGGGGTCAGCAATGTTCAGGTCACTATTCTTTTCGCTGGCCATGCGCTCCACAGATTTCTTCAAAATGAGCAGCTCCTGCAGCTGAAGGGTCGACAAGCAGTTGCCGAAGCGTTCAGGTGTGCTCATCACTGCCAGAACGCATCGAATATTTTTATCTGTGGACGTTTATTCTTGGCACTGTAAGCACTTACCGCTGCAGAACTCCATAGTTGTAACGCTGCTTATGGCCACCTGACGACTGTCGGGCATCGCGGCCTTGATGCAATTGAGTTGTGGCTCTTGGTCATGCTTCCACGACTCCACTGCTGTGACTTATTGTTGTCTTCTGTGGTTGACTTAACGCCGCAACTGGAGCGGCAACACATGGCGCGGCGGATGTGTAGCTCCAATCAAATTGTCATAAACGTGCGCGACACACTTACTAGCATGGGCTGTATTATTAAAATTCCTAATTGCGGGGAAAACGCCAGAATATCAAAGTTTGTTCAGCAGAAGACATAGTCGCATAAGAAGATTATCTGAAGAGGATATTCCAGCAGTGAAACTGAAGTTGTTAGGACGTAGTTGTTAGAACTAAGTGTTGATATGTTTCATCAATTGCCAACCAGTTACGACTGGTGAGCTTAAATCATGCAACTCAACCCCCAATTGAGAAAATTGAGCATTTTTTTTTTAAACAACCCTCTTACATGTATCCGTAAATGTTTTACCACGTCTGCATAATTACTAGTTTCATTTATGTGTGTTTGCACATTTTCTTTTTATGCTTGCAGACCGGAAGATTTGCATCGCATACGCGTCGAACATATGGAACGGCAATTGGCCAACTTGACTGGCTTGGTGCAGAAGGCGTTGGTCAATCAAAATCCTCAGATTGCGCCAATGCCAGTGCCGACATTGGACTCCAACTATCTTGTTGTGCCATCGCAAATGCAAGGTATGAAAAGCAATTTAGCTCTGACACGTCTCTTACATCAAAGAAGAAAAAAAAACTAAATATAATGTAAATGTATATTTATGTAGTACTCTCCACTTATGTATAGACAAATAATCATACAAACGTATATATAACGTGCTTGAACACGCTGCCACCTTATTAACACACCTAACAGCACTACTTAACTAACGATCCAGTTCGATTCGATGCCTGCGTGTGAGACGACTGACAGTGCCACCTAATGCTTGAGCCTTAGCTCGAGCTTAGCCTGAGCCTCTCCCATTTATACGAGAACATATACTTGTAGTTCAAAAAAAACCTATCTAAATATTTAGTATATTTCGTGCCCCATTTGTTTGTTTGCATGCCTATCTGCCTATCTGCCCGCCCCAGTCATTCATTGCCCTACTCATTGTATCTCAAGTTTTTGTCTCGCTCTGTTCTTATTTCTTTAACATGCTCCTAAATACATAATTAGCTAACGGTTCCGGCGATGAGATGTATGTTAGAGAGAAGGCACCCAAGCTGGGCAAGAATTCATGTCGTAAGTGTACACAACTGTCGACTATCCGACCCAGTCTGCGCCACCACCTCTACAATGAATGACACAAACTATATTGTTTTGCAGAGAAATCCGTTTCCTTTGAGAAATCAGTATCCTTTAGCGATGACATACAGGGAATACCCAAATCTCATAGTCCACTACATGCCGGTAAATAACAATCAACTAAAACAAACAACAACATTTTTATATCAATCCTAGTCCCCTCTAATAATGTTTGCTTTGTTTGTAGTCATGTTGCCATGCATTTTGTTTTAAATGTAGATTTTCGTTAAACAATTAAACAAAGTATTTAGTAAATAACATTTGCTAAAAAGTGCTGTCATATATGTTTTAAATGCCTAGAAGAGTGCGTCAATTTACCAAAAATTATTATTAAAATTGATAGATTTCTGTTCAAAATTTTAGAAAGGAACCCAAATCTATATATTTCCACTGGCTAATTCTTCAGTTTTTTGGCGTTTCAAATATAAATACCTTTAGTCTTTTGCAGTTCATTCAATAATATGAGTACATGTTTATAGTTTATTATTCGAAAACGGGAAGATTTCAATATATTTTTGAAAAGTATTCAGCAGCTGTTTCGATTTTAATTGAATGGAAATTTACGATCGAACGACAGTCGATGGAAAGTTGTTGGTTAGAAAATCATCTTTCAGTCTTCATTCCACAGATCTATCGCATTAGAAAATATACAAGAGCTGTTTAAAAAAAAAAAGGCTTTTTTTCGATTTAAATATTCAACATAGATTCAGCCTAAGTATGGGGTGAAAAATTAAAAAACAAAGTTCTAGAATCTTCATAGCATAGTACCTGCTATCCAGAACGCCGCTAGAAGATTAAGGGCTCTGCTTCAGAATCAAACGACTTCATTCCACAGATCTATTGCATTTTTTTTTATTCAAGCCCTAAATATTCATCACAGATTTGTAGTTGGCTATTGAGACTCTTATCGGAATGTTATATTGCAGCCCCTTCTATGCATTGCAAACATTTTGACGCAACTCATTTGATATTCTACCTATTGCGGGGTATACATACATACATGAAGGGGGGGAAATAGGGTTCTTTTATGTTGGTTGGTTATGTGTATAAGAGCAAAAACCAATACTCTCTGCATTTCTGCTAATCTACATGACCTTCGACCCACAATTGCAACGGACATAAAGCTGATACGAAACCTACCAAGCCGGCAATCAAGTCGTCTACCTTGCCACGTACATCGTCACAAGGTAAGTGCCACAGCCACGCCCAAAAACACACACAGACACACTTACACACAAACACACACACACATCCACATACACATACACCCACCCAGATACACACGACTTGCTTACGCAAAACACTAACAACTCACGCACGCATGCACAGAGAACTCACGCCATGCACACAACACATCGTACCCTGAGGGGCTAGTTGGCGAACTCATTTCATTAATTGCAACTCCTTTACTCCGCACGCAACGCTCAAATGGGATCATGATTGGAATGACAATGAAGAACGGGATCGTCTCAAGCCGCCGCCACCTCCCAAGCCCATTGTGCTGGCGCAGACTGCGCATCCGAGCTACCGTGCGGACATTGCGCTCGCGCCCGAGGTCTACAATCACTTGCGGGGCCTGCAGAAGAAGGCCAAGGATCTGCGAATGGAAGTGCGCACCCTGCGGCGCCTCTCTCAAGCACAGGCAGTGGCCGTGCGCGAGGATATCAAGGGGACGTTCATGCGCATACGCGCCACCCTGTTGGCCAGCAACGGCAGTTTTTGGAACCACCAGGGCGATCAGGATGCAACGCGCATTTCACGCGAAGAGGAGCTATACAAGCAAGAGGTCATTCGCTTGGAAAAGGACCTCAGCGACTTGGAGGCCTCGGTGGAAAACTTGCGCGGCGAGGTGATCAATCGACGCACGCGCGTCAATATGACCGCTGTAGAGGACATGGCCTTGGTGTTGAGTCGAGCCAGGTAAGTCCTGATCCGATGATATTGTCTATTCTGTGTGCCCAGTAGACCTGTTTTTTTTTTCTGCTTTCGTTTTTTGCAGCAAAACTGTAGCTGAACTGAAGCTCAAGTTTCCGGCACTATCCAACGGGTTGCGCTGCATTCTTTCCAACGAAATGGAGAAGGTGGTGCGTGAAGAAAAGTTCCTAAAAGAAGAGCCAGATCGCCTAGAGTCGGCATTACGTCGCTGTAAGAAACTAACTGGCACACTGGTGACGCTCAAGCGGTAAGTGCTGCTTCCAGAGCTTCTCCCGACTGTCTCACTTAACATCGCCATCGACTTGTGTTGTGTCTTTCTCACAGCTTGGCCAGCGTGCAGGAACAACGATTGCCACCCAATGAGCCGCAAATCAATGAAGAGCCGCCCCGGTCAGCGGAAATATCGGCGCCCGATAAGGTAAGCCTAGAAAAACAAGCCACCGTCGTTAGTGAGACACGCACACACACACGCACACACCACACCCACAGCCACATTAGAACCATGCCATGCCATACCATTCACACAGTACAACCACATTCCAAGTGATATACATATATTAAAAGTATTCTCTCTACTACTTCCATCACAGAAATTAGTTGCTTTTGGTCAAAAAAAAAAAACAAAAAAAAAAAAAAAAAAAATACAAAAAGTACCTACATATGTATCGAGTTCCGTTTCGTTTTTATTTGTATGACTCTTCAGTTCTGTTTTGTTCTAGTGCTGCAAGCTACAACAAATCCGCTTTAACCACAATAACAACAACAACAACAACAAACAGTCGATTCGGCATGCCGGATTGGACATATCTTTGCCATGACGTTATGCGCTTTAAAGAGATCACATCGACAAGAAAAGCTGAGCTCTAATGTTTTCTGTTTCCGCTTTAAGAAAAACGCCTAAAATCGTTAATAATTAAAGTGCATTATTCCCAATTCAATTTGGAATGTTATAATTCAGAAAACGTTTAAACTCCATTATCGGTGATGTACTATATAATTCCGAAATCCCTTAATCACTTTCTAATAAAAGCATTTTAGGTAAGAATTATATAAACATAATCATTTAAAGGAACGTTTGCATGGCAAAAATATAATAGGGAAGCTAAAAAAAAAAAAAAAAATGAAATAAAATTCAAACGAATATTATTATTTGTACGATTTGTGGCCTCATCATGTGTTTCGCATTTCGACTGCATTCGAATTGTGCACAGAAATGCCAAATACATACTATATTACAGTATTATCAAGGCGCAAGAGAATTTCAGACAATTATGCAAACAAAAATGTAGTTGTGTCATTTGAATGTACATATAAGACATATGTCGAACTTATTTTCAAACTCATTTTATCTATAACAATGAACATTTAACCAACAAATTGTTTATCATTTAGTTTTTGGTACCTAAGTATGTGCAAAATTTTTTATAACAACTCCACTTACAATTAGTTGTACCAAATGAAAACCACAAAGTTGAACTGCTCATTTATTCGTTGCCCTGCCCATCATCTGTTTGGATTTTTGAATACCATTATCTTATGGATCATTTGCAATTGGCTATTATTCAAGAATATTCAGTTGGTCCTTTTCAGTTCTCTGTTGTGTTTCATTTAAATCCGTTACACTACTTACAAGTATCGTTTTCATACTGATTTCGAACTCCTGCGACCATTCGAGCCTATATCGAGAGCATCGTCGCGTCGCTCAAATGAAGCTTCACCGATGTGTAGTAGCCTTAAGGTTAATGCGAGAAAACAAAATATATTTAAAAAAAAAAAACAACAACAAAATTAATAATAACCGCAGCATTGTCTAGTTTTCAGTTATATTTTAGTTAACTTTTTTTGAACACGCTTCCATTTACCATTAAAGATAACAAGAAATAAAATAACACAAACTTTGAATCTTATAATGCTTAAAACGTGTTTTAAAAAGAGGTTTACCTAGTGATTTCGTTTTCTTCTTCTTGTACGATTCTTCTCGCCTTTTTTCGAAACTAACATTTTTATGATATCGTATACAACAACTACAACAACAACCACATAGTTTAACTGGCGATGGAGTTCAAACTTCAAAGAGGCAATTACTGAGTAATGACTGAAAATCCAAATATACAAACAAAATCAATTTTGAATTTACAAACAAAAATAATAATAATAACAAATCTATACCAAAAACAAATATTCAAAAAAAAAAAAAAACAAAAAACAAAAAAACAGCAACAACAAAAACCCTTTTTAAAACGATAAACTCATAAATCTTCTATGTCCATTTTCTTTTGCTAAGCATTATTTGCTCCGCATTAAACATAACTAGTTTATTTTTTGTATACTACAATACTAACTACTGCTATAAACTTCTAACCTAATACTAAAACCACAACAATATCAAAAATCATAAGAAGTTACTTACTACTCTTATAAAGACCAGTGATGGCCACTGCACCAACAAAGGCAGAGAATGCACGTGGATGTTGCATCTGGATGAGATGGTTTCGGTTTCTATAGCAAAGTTACAGAGGGGTTGTACTACAAGTATATACCGTTCACCCCGCCCACCCATACTCTTGCATTCTCCGTATTTGATAATGAGTTTCTCTCTGATATACATACATACTATAGCATATATAATTTTAAGACAAGGTCGCCCCGAAACCCGGCATACCAAACGAAAGGCCGCTGCATTTTCCCAAAGATTTCAGTAATACCCTGCACCCAAGGAAAATCGTTCAAGAATATCTTCAAAAGTATATACATCATTTGCATTTGTCCTTTGTCCGATGGTATTCGTTGTTCTTATTTCAAATGTTTTCATAATTTATATTTTATTTTAAATAAGTTCATTTGCGACGTCACAAATAGTGATTTAAACTGAAAAATTACACATTTTAACGCTATTTGCGTCACAACTTTGCTAGTGACGAAAAGTTTCTATGCTGTGCTGTATAAAGGATGCCTTCATCCCAATAATATTCGTATTCTCACTCAACGTTTCAATGAGTTCATTTGTGACATCACAAATATTGATTACGTCTTAGAAATGTTTAGTTCTAAAAGGTGAAATTTTTGCGCTTTGCTTTGCGCTTTCACAGCTATCTTCATGCCAAATATATTCGTAATTCTCCTTCGAAAATTTGGATTTTATATTAATAATTTGTATCACAACTTTGCTAGTGACGAACACTTTCTGTCTGCTGGCTAAAAAAATTGTGCTGTGAAAATTGTGTATCTACAAATATTTGCGAATTATTAGAAACCTCTTAATTTGTATTCCATACGGGAACTTGGAGTTGTAAATCATTTGTATTATTACTTTTTTTAATTAAATATGAAATAAAAATACTTAAATAGTCAAAAAATGTACATATTTTGTATTTTTATCTAAAAAACAATTCAGAACTAAACATTTTTATTCTTTATTCTTCAGTTATTGCGAATTTGTATTGAAATTGTGCTAGTGACGAAATCATGCCAAGCCCAGCAGCTGCTCTAAACTCATCTTAGCAGCTATTTTTTTATACGTTACCTTTTTTTTGGGTGCAGGATTTTTATGTATTTTATAATCGGATACAATTGACTATAGAGCACAAACACGTTTCGGCTCTTCCCATCTTTCACACCGACTCTAGTGGGTCCTTTCGCTTCTTCTTCCTCTTTTTTCCCTCTATCTTTCGTCCCACTGTATCTGCATACAATGTATTCTAAAAGAAAATCGGGTCTATTCAATTGATATTGGAGTATTGAAAGAAAAATTGGAACTGGGTTTCGGCCAATACATTTTTTGTATATACATGTACACTCATATACATGCGTACTTCATGCATATAAGTATGTATATGCGTATGTATGTGTATATGAGAAGTTTGTTGATTTATTTTGAATTACTTTTGAAAATCTTCTACTACAAAATATTGCTTTGTTTTTAAATCCCAGACCCACTCCGGAATACATACTACCATAACACACGCGCACACACACACACACACATAAACACAGACACGCTAAGATTTTCAATTTTCGATTTCAATTTTCGATTTTCAAGTATGTTGTTGCTTCTTCATCACTCTTCCGTTGATGTTCGTTCTTCTGTGCGTTGCTTTTCATTATCTTAACTGTTTCTCACTTGTTCACACCACGATCATACTACCTTAGTTACCTTAGTTATGTGTATGCAATACATACCTATATAATAACATATATCTAGATATGTCTATGAATGTGTATATATACATTATATATGTATGTGTGTGTTGGTGCTTCCAAATGCAATGCCTCCAATTCCAAATATATACCCACCACTTACAATTGTGTTTCGTTTCCGCAAGTGTTAAGCAAATGAATCAAAAAGTATATATCATGTTATATAACAACTGTATGGCATCAAAAGTATCCATCAGCGTTTCCTAAAACACTCCATTATTCTGTCCACAGCACACCACACCAAACCATCCCTATCGTTGGTATCTCATTTACTTTGGTTCCATTTGTCTTCTGTTCGGCTTTCATGTTTCATGCGTTCTTTTCAAATGTAGATCTAATCACTGGTGTGTCCCCGAAACCCTCGCCGACCACAACTTAGGAGACTTTTATTCTTTTGTGTATAGTTATTAATGATCAGACATTGTGTTCGATTCATGTTTTTGTTTGTTATTAACTCAATTGTTACATGGTAGTTGAAAATAAAACCAAAAGCAGAAAACAAACATGAAAACTATCATATAATTTTAAGTGCTATATATTGATGTTGTAGTTGCAAAACAAATCTGTATGTGTATGTACAAGTATATAAGTACACATACACATAGACTAAAGACAATACAAATAAAGTATATGAATTATATATGTATGTACACCCCTTTATGTACGCACAAAACATTATCGAATACATCCAACCAAGCTACTACTACTACTACTATCGTAATTAATCGCAACTGGAGGCCAATATTTTTTTTTTTTTTTGAGAATCGTTGTAAAAAAGGTCGTCAAATAATCAGTCATTTGTGTTCTCACTCATCAATTGTTGTCTTTGAAGTTTAACCATCCACTCAACCAATCGCTCCATCATGAAATCATTTATTTGTGTATACATACATACATATGTTTCTATATGTATCTATAACACACATTTTATAATTCATGCGAACAAATAGCGATCGCTTGCACCCATCCTTCGAGTGCCCATTAAACAGATACATGTCTTCTCCAGACTTGCAGTTTAACAGGCAACTAGAAGAACGGAAAACCCATATGTATTTACAGGCATTACTATATAGTAAAAGCTCACACATACACCCACATTTTGCACAAATCACATAAATTTAATCTAAACCAAATAAAAATCCTTGTGAAATAAAAAAACAACAACACTAAAGGTCAATATCACACTTATATGTCATGCTACGATTGTGCGAAGTCTGAATTTGTTTTTCGAAACCCATAATGCTCGGAGTATTTGAAAGACAAGCTCAATAAATCTAAAATGAATTGGAGTTTTTGTAGAAGCTTATAATACTTGAAGAAATTAAATGACAAGTCCAAAAACAATATCTTTTTTAAAAAATATTAAAGATCGTACCATTGCTGACCTCTAGAGAGATTAGCTAATTCTACTACTTTATTAATCCGTAGTACTCAAAGATTATAATAATTTTTAAGCTAGAAACCAACTGGTAAGGTTTCATGTTTTAAGGAAACATGAATATGGCATGTGTTAGGAGACGATAGCACTACGATTTACTCCTTTTAGGGACAAATTCAACATGGGCCTCTTTACAGACGCACCCTTCAGATAATTATAATTGTTGTTCACATTTCACGGGGAAAATTAGAAACCAACAGTTTAAGTCTGCATATGATAAGATAGAAAGGATCACAATATATTTATGAACACTGTTTAGTCATCGAGGTGTTTGAACAGCGATTGTTTCACATCGGGTTAAAATTAAAATAGACTTGCCGCCGATCTATGGTTAATATGTTGTGCTAAATCATTCAAATGTGAATGGGCAGATTTTTTCAAATTTCTGCGCAACTAATGCCTACTGTCAAACGAAAACGTTTTTGAAAATTGTTTCGAATTCAATATTAGAAATTTATCAAATTATTAGCCTAAATTTACATTTGAGATACATAAGAGTAATTTATGACTCTAATTTTCAATCGGGTTTCTCTTGAGGTTCTGCTTCGAGTCAGGATCGTCGGAAAACAGTCGTCGTCAATAACAATCGGTGAAGACTTCTTTTAGATCTTAAATTGTTTTCTCATTCGTCACATTGCTTGTTGATATAGACTTTATTTTCGATTTAATGTTTCCCACACCTCTCTTGCCTCTTCTTCCAGTACACAACCATCCAATCCATCCAACTCAGACGCACTCACTGTATTCATTATGTGTTTTTATGAGATTTTTACTTGAATATCGTTTGCTGCTATATGTTCGTTCGATTTGTTTGCGTTACTTGGTTTGTAGCAATTAACAATCTATTGTATCTATGTACATATGGATGTGTGTATATGTGTTTGCAGCTTGTAGAGCATTGTATGAGCTTAGCATGCCCTGTTGCTTGGTCCCTCCGATGGCCCGATCTCGTATTAGTCAAAAATGTTTCGCTATCTACCTTACCCTATGCCTTGTACAGCTGATTTTTAATCTGCATTTGTGCTCTTTTCTTTAATAGGTTCCTACCAGTTACACTATTTTTATGATAATGTACGAGAATATTATATATATGTATATACCGATTTCTTCCATATATATACATATATATACACATATGTATATATATAGAAATATATTTATATATGACTTTAAATGTGCCATGTTATTGAAATGCCCCGTCCTAGCCGCAGAGTTGTTCGCCGCTATTAATTGTTAAATTGTCGCATCCAATTATTTTGTTTTGTAGCCAATCCCAACACCCAGGATGGGGTCGATCACTATCAGCGGGGGAGCCGCACCCGAAAACGCACTCGATGCTCTGCTAGATGAGCTCAAGACATTCTCCAAACCCATAGCCCAACAACAACAGCAGCAGCAGCAACAGCAACAACAACAGCAGCAATACGAGGTAAGTTTCGGATAATTTGGGGTTTATTTCATCGCAATATCACACTTACACACGAAATACCTATCTGTCGACAGCTACGCCCCGAAGACTCCGCATCCGATGAGAGCGCACAGGCCGCAGTACAAAGCACCGTCACCACACAAATATCGCAGGCTCGCCTCTACACAGAGGCCAACAGCAACATGCAGCAGGCGACCACCAACAGTGGCAGCAACATGGTCATTGCCACGGGCAATGCACAATCGCACCAGCGCACCGTTACAGGAATCGGACCTGGCTCTGGTTCTGGCACTGGCCCCGGCCCCGGCACCGGCACTGGCACTGGCACCCTAACACATCAGCAATCGCAACAGCAACTGATGGTGCACACCAACATGGGGAGTTTGCGACGCCTGCACTCGTATCCCAGCGAGTCGGAGAGCGAGCTGCCCCCGACTGGGCCGCGGGCCAACAACAACAGCAGCACCCTGGCCAATGGTGGCACCACCACTACCAGCAACAGCAGCAGCGGCAAGCCACCAGTGCCCGAGCGCAATGCCGATTTGATAACGAAGGTGGGCAACAAGCGCATACCGCCACCACCGCCGCCACGCACTAGCTCACGCAGTCCACTGGCCAGTCCAACCAGCCCGAACGTGCCACATAATATGGCCGCGGCAGCCGCAGCTGCAGCCACCAATAATGTGGGCAACAGCATGAACAATGTTGGTAATACGGAGGTAGGAACTTCAGCCAATACTGGCATTGGTATTGGCGGTGGCGACACCTCCAGCGGTGACAACTCCAGCGGCAATGAGTCTGGCAACGATCACGTACAACGCCAGGTAGCGCTAGAGATGCGCCATCAGGAGCTGCTCAAGAAGCAGAAGCTGCTGCAGGAGCAATACCAACGTCTCCAGCAAATGAGCAAATTGCCGTCCGTAGATGTGACCTGCCCCTCGGACGCTGCTGTCCCTGGCAGCGGCAGCGGCGGCGGCGGTGGCACACTCAAGAAGCTGGGCAGTGAGACGAATATACAACAGAAGATAGCTGCATTGAGCTTGGCCTGTGAGGCAAGCGGAGCCGCAGCTGCGGCAGCAGCAGCAGCAGCTAATGGTGTGTTGGTCAGTGATGCTACGAGCGGTGTGGTAGGCGGCGGCGTAGTTGGTGGTGGTGTTGGTGTTGCTGTTGGGGCCGCTGGTGCGGGCGCTGCTGTTGCTGCAAACGCCCAGACGCAGGCCCAGGGACAGCAACAGCAACAGGCGGCAACAATGACCACCAAGCAGGTTTACGAAACGGAGATACTTTAACACAATTGGAAATTGGCGTGGAAGGAAACTAAAATTGACATTTAAACAAGGAGAGCTGGCGCTTTAGAGCCGCCAGCCTAGGCACTAGCTAACTGTTGTTTCTCACTCTCCGCTCCATTCCACTCCACTCCACACCATTCTCGCTCTTTCACTCACACTTAGTGCACCTTCTTTCTATCTCGCTTGCAACTGCTACAAGACTTCACCCCCTCCCCATTGCCCCCATTTTAAAATAATGACTTTAAAAGTCCCCAAGCACCCCAAATATCATAAGTACATTGAAAGAAGAAAAACAGAAGAAACCAAACGGAAAACAAAACAAAAAGATGAATTGGGGAAAACGTTTAAATTTGTTGAACTAAACAGACCCAGAAACCTATTGAAATCTAATTGTCGTACATGCATATTTATATATAAACAATATAGTCGAATGCGAATCAAAATCACAAGTCCAACACACACACACACATATACACATACTTATATACACAACCCCTTATCGCGACATATGCGCCCATGTTGGATGGATAATGTACCATATGCTTACATGAATGTCTAAGCTCTTTTGTTGTTGTTTACATTTTGAATACAAAGAATGCACATTAGACATATAGAACAAATAGAAAAAGAAAAGTAAAACGGAATAATACTAATAAGAAGAAAAAGAAGAAGATGAAGAGAATGATGATGATGATGATGATGATGATTGCAGCAATATTGTAAAACAATCCCTAAAACTGTACGGACACAAACGAATATACAATATATTGTCCAGATACCCTATAGATACGGTTGCCAAATACACTCACACACGCACTAACTAACTTAGTTAAAATACTAAATTAAAAACAATACAACCGAAAGGTGTCCGACCCCACCCCCACCAAGAACATCGAAGTCGAAATCAGCATCACCCAACCACTCAACCAATAAGACATCAAATCTTTCAAATTGTGAGGGGTGGGTGAGGGGTCTGTTACTTTGCTCGCCAAAATATATACACACATATATATATTTTAAGGAACGTAATACATTGCGCATGACATGAAATACCTATATATATATACACTTATATATATATATATATATATATATATATATATATATATATATATGAACACTTATGCAACTTTAAAACTATTTACATATGTACATTTAAATATGAAATAGAATTTTATTATTACCTTGGTATGGGATGTGAGACTGATAGTTCTATATATGTAGCTCATCAAAAGAACAAAAAAGAAAAACAACAAAACAAATGCAAATCAAGTTAAAAAAATAAACGCATGTACTTATTTTTGTTAGTCAAGTAATTAGGTAATTTTATTCCCAACTTGTTATGCTCATTCCAAAAGAAACATTGCTGCTTCAAATTTCAGCCACATTTCTGTCTCGTGCTATAAGATACAATTACATTTATGACAGCCCCGAGACACTCCAACCAAGGACCGAACAAATCGTTTTTAAAATAGGAAATCCAAAAAAGGATATTAGAGAAACGAATGTATCAACAGTTGATTCAAGCTCTTGTTGTTTCTACAGTGATTTAAATATAACTGTAAGCTGTTACTTAAAAGTTGAATAACTTTAGTTTGAAAAAATAAGAAATATTCCAGAAATAATTCCTTAAGCATATTTTAAAAAATATAATTTATAACAATTACTTTCCTGCCTAAAACCAGACAGCATTCAACAGTAAAGCACACTTAATCTGCTATATTTATATGCTATATCTATAGTAGGAAATTGGAAAATTTAGAGACATTCCAGGATTTGGTATTGAGGGGAACAGACGTTTTTCTAAAAAGTTCTTTAAATAGTTAGTCTTATACGTTCTTTTTTTTAACCACATATCGCCATTTAATTGAAAACCATTGCTAAATTAGTTTCAAACGATTTTGCATTAAGTACGGAAGCTGTAAATTTTACATAACTTAGTATAAGAGCTGTATAAGACTTTTATAAGACTCGGCCAATCCAGTATTGTGCAATTTGAAATGTGTATTACATGCTATTATGTTTTGAAAATGAAAATTAATGCAATTTAATTGTGACATGCTACAATGTTTCTATTTGGAAAGAGTATTTACACTTCGGAGTGCCGAAGATTGTTTTTAATCTCGTTTTTCTTTTCCTCCCCATTTTTCTTTATTACGAATAAATGAAGAACTTTTTGTAATTAATTGCAAATGTATTTTAAATACATATTTAATAAATAAATAAATACATACATACATATAGATTGTACACACACACACACACACACAGACAGACTTGAATACCAATTTTGAATACATAATGCATTCAGTATTAAAGGATGGAAGTACAGAGTTATTATATACATACATACATACAGATAGACATAGCACAGAGAGGTATGAATGTTGATGGCACCTACACGGAATTAATTTTTTGTTTTGTTCCTTTCTTTACTAATTATTAGAAAGTATAGTAAATAAAATGATGTAAGAGGCTCGAGGAGAAGCGAACAAAAAAGGTATATATTCAATGTTTTTTGCCAAATTTATGTGTCGGATACAGACACATGCAACTTTTATATAGACTATGTATGTTTACGATAATGGGTTTTATGAAACTTAATCGAGTGACGATAGAAAACTGTGTTCTAACTTTTTTTTTTTTTAGATATACAAACCTATATCGTTGCTATGCTCAATTTTGAATAATCGGATGCAGAGGAGGGCAGGGTTTAGCTTAGATCGAGCATGAAGAGATCGGCATGGCCGTATATATTCATCAAGATCCGCTCTGCACCACAACACACATAGGCAGCACAAGACAGAGGACAGTGTTAGAATGTCCTTTGCCCCCGAATGGGGCCTGGGACTGGGCTTTCAATTTGAATTTTAAAATGTATTTTTAAACTAGAGAGTGTTATTAAATTATTAAGCACAATACACAAAAACACACAATTGAAATTATTGCAATCGATTTTTTGCATTTGCATTTCTATAGAATTATGATTATTGAATTGAGGCCGTTGTTTTGCGCTTTGCGGGCAGGATAGGCAGAAGGACAGATGGACAGAGGTGAAGAGCCCGCATAATATCCCGAATACAATAAATTTGACTTCGAATATACACATACATACATATATATACAGACAAATATGTACAACATACCTACATACATACAAACAAACAAACATACATATAATAAGCCGTCACGCAACGAAAAACAAGTTTAAATTTAATAAACCAATAAAGAGAATAACAATTAAATCGATGACGATTACAGCGATTATGATGATGTTGATGATGATGATGACGACGCATATTTAACTGAGAAATTTAGCAAAGATTCTTAAGAGAAATATACAAACAGTGAAAGGAGAAAACGTACAGAAGAAAGAGTGTTTAACAATAACAATAAAAACAGAAATGCAAACGGAATGTATAATGCAAGACGAAAATAGATAAATGTGGCAAATGGTAATGAATATATATATGTATATGTAATTGTGTAAGCATATAAGGCACACACGCACACTCACCACACACTCACACACCCTCTATATAAATAGACATATATATCTACATACGTATGTACATATAATATACCTATGTATGTAGGTATGTATTTATGTATGTTTGTGCCGGTGCATGAATATTTTAAGCCACATAGCACACAAAATCACCCACACACAGAATATTACATTCCCATCCATATGAATGAGAGGAATTCCAACACCCTGCATATGCATATATACATATGTATGTATATATATTGTACATATGCTATATGTGCATATAAATATACATATATATATATGTCGGAGAAGGGTTGGATAATTCGCGCGGCGTGACGCGCTGTTCGGCCATTTTCTTTACGTGAGCACAGCAATTCGCACTGGTAGTGTTGCCTTTGACTTCTTGAAGCAGACTGACTTGCATCACTGCTCTCTCGAGGCTCGTTGTCTTACTCGTTCTACTCTTCCTTTTTGTTCTTTGACATTTCCTTTTCTCAACTGCCTAGACAACAACAATGCGCTTTGCTCGGCTAAGGCAATATTTGCTCTTAAACCCTGCTCTTATTATAGCCTGCAAGCCGATCACATGACACATTCTCTTTGTATTTGTTTTACACACAACATCATTTAATGATTTACATTTCTTTATTTAGTGTTATTCTTCTACACGGCCTTCCTGGCTCTTACACGTCCTCGTGTAGTATCTTATCATAATGAAATTAGCAAAACAAAACTTATTCAAATAAAACTTATTCGAACAAAACTTATTCAAACGTCGGCTTCATGCCTTGCTCAATATTTTTTTTTTTTTTTTTTTTTTTTTATTATACTATATATAGTCAATCAATTCAAGTATTGCGCTTCAATTTACCATAAGTTTATCGTTACTTCGTTTATTTAACACTTCTTTGCAAGATGTGTCTTCAAATGACGGTTTTGCAGGCATTCACACACATTTGCGGCTGTGCCAACCAGTAGCTCGTACTCTTCTGCGAAAACCCGAACATCTGGATATCTCTCTATCATACCACAACTCATGGACTCCACTTGCCCTTGCAACATGATCACTTTAAGTCACATGTTCTCTACCACGACAACCGCGCCGCACGCCATGATAGACACCCTCCGTCTACACTTGTGCCATCGGTATAACTTAGTGGTACGGGCGTGGTCCTTGTGTATGACAATACTACATCGTCACTGGTGGGAGCTTGGGCTTTGGCCAATGCCTTCTTCTGCATTACCACCCTCCACATCTTCCAACTCTGCAGTAACTTGACTATCTGGTAACGGTCGCAAATACTCATGGGCATACTTGTATGTCCTCTTACTTATCAAGGACTTTAATTTATATCGGTCACCATCAAGCACTTCAATCACGACAAACGGTCCCTTAAATTTGGGGTCAAGCTTTGTTTGGTGCCGCTCTTCACTTTTGAGCAAAACATGATCTCCAACCTTATGCTTAACAATCTTTGCCTTATTTTGATCAAATCTAGCTTTATCATAGTTAGCATTTTTTAACATATTTTCTTTGGCCTGCTTTCTTAAACAATCAACATCAACTTTTTCTTCATTTATCATTGGCACTAAGCCTAGTGGTCTAGCCTCTTTGCCTATCAATAATTCCAATGGACTAACTTTTGTTACTCGATTTGTCGTGCAATTTATGGCCAACTGTACTTCATCTAATGCTTCTTGCCAGGAACGCTCGCTCGTTTCAACTGCTGTCAGCATATTTTTCATAGTGCCCATTACGCGCTCTACCTGTCCATTCGCACGACTCGCTCCCGTAGCTATCAAATGTAAATTAACGTTTTGTGATGAACAAAATTCTCGAAAAGCGGCGCTGGCAAAGCTCCTACCCTGATCAGCAATAATACGCGTAGGCACGCCAAAAATGGATATTGCTGATTTGACCGCTTTTATACAACTTTCCGTGTCCAAATTTAATGTGTGATAAAAGTAAACAAATTTAGTAAATGCGTCTACTTGTACTATGACATACTCCTTCAAATCGTTTTTGCCACTTAGTTTGCCACTTATATCAATGTGTATTGTATGCCACGGTATTTCCACCTTGGGTATCGGATGCATTTCTGCCTGAATCTTGCCCGAGGATGACTTTGATACCTTGCACGTTATACAGTTTTCTACAAACCTACGCACATATTTTGACATATTCTCGAACCAATAGTAGGTGTATACCTTATCTAATGTTTTCTCCCAACCTAAATGCATTATGGCTTCGTGTACGTGATTTATTACGGACCACCTATATGCTCTTGGTACCACTGGCAAGCAGCGCGTTCTACCATTTCTTTGAATCTTTCTATGCAGTATACCAGATCTCATTTCATACGTTCTTGCCATGTCCTCATTAAGCTCATTATTGTGCAATTTAGAAATTAAAACAGACAAATCTGGATCTCGCTGTTGTTCAGCAATCAGCCAATTGTCAGTCAGCTCAGCCAAGTCTACACGTTTCTCAGTAATATTTTTGACGGTCTTTGCTTCAGCAGGGATAGGATTTCTTGAAAGAAAATCTGCATGCAACA